TAATCCCCCAGTTTCGCGATTTACTACTCCGTACTCCGTACCGAAAACAAAAACAGGTCCAAGAATAAACCAACTCTCAAGCAAGCGGCTAGACATCCAAAAATGCTATATCCAGGTTCCAAGGTTCTAAACTCAGTCCATGACCAACCACCGAGCCCAAAGTTGAGCCTCTCATGCTATTCGCAGCATGGTACATACCAACTGCGGCCCTAAGCCCTACAGGAGTGGGCAGGATAGGGAGGGGCGGGAAGGTTTAATCCCTGCCCGCCCTCGTGGTGTTTCTAAAAACAGAAATGAAACAGCGCGTGAAACAACCCGAGAAGGAGAAGATCGACGTATACCAGGCGATCGTATATGCACAGACAACCCAGTCTGGTCTGGGAATTCCGGATAAGGCAGGTAGGTTTTTTTTAGGAATGCATGCAAGTGCACGGCATAAAAGACTAAACTGTTTCGATGCATGTTTGTTATTCTTATCTAGTTAGTTATATGGTTACATTTCTGGAGTTGGAGTTGGCAAAGTGGTCGGCGATGTCATGGCTCTCATGGTTTATTTGGTCCCCGCTGATAGTCGTACACACTTTGAACTTACCATACCACATCCATGTTTATTTACATTCAGTCCTTGCTCGGTTGGTTTATATCCTTGATTGTTTGGGTGTAAACATTTCGGACCCCAAATCTCGCCCATGTGTGTGGACAGGGTTGGTCCCCATAAACGTCATTTGTATTTTATAACCCCTATCAGGTATGTAATAAGCGCTTCACAAGGACTCCTTTTCCAACAATCGTCCCCCGACTTGTACAAAGAAGCCTGTCCGTCTTGTAGCGCTGTTGGATTACCGCATTTAAAGACAACAATCCCCGCCGATCATCTGATGATGCACGGTTGACATTTCCAATTTCCACCAAACACCAACAACTTGTTGAATTTCCAAACCCGTAACCTGATATCAGTCTGGCCGGTTCAGGATCTATTCCCGGTACGGGGTACTTGACGAGTATTTCAAGAAGCAATATTTGTGGATCTCAACCGCACGCCACAAAAGGACCAGCCTTATAACATATGTTGTACAGGGTTATTCCTTGTCCGTAAATTAAAAGCTTTCTAGAAAGCACGGGGATCCCTTGTACGCTGTACCACGGAATGGCCGCGACTGCGCCATGTCATCAAAAGAATATATCACCAACACACTGAACAATTCCAACTTGAATCTATTCCCACCACTCTTCATACATTCTCTATGGTCTAGATCCTACAGTTGGAAGGATCCACAATATGTACGGTGTAGGTACGCAGTAGATGCAACTTCCAACAGCGACTCCGACGATCCTACGATCTAGACACCCTCCGATCCAACATTGGGCAGCTCAAATCTCTGTAACATCCATATCCACATTCTCCGCGTGCTCGAATTGCAGCCATATGTAAACCAATGCCCTCCGGACCCAACGCGCTATCATACCAACACCAAAATCACCCGGGCTTTGTCCCTCAGCGGTGTGGAGATATGTACTGGAGTTGGAGGACGAGGGCACGGTGAGCCTCATTTTCCCTCGCTCTGTCCCCCGTTGTTCGGTGTCTTGTTAAATAAGGAAGCGGGGCCGCTCCCAAGCCTCGTATAGGTACATCCTTCGCCCTTTCTAGCCGCCTTTGGTGCTTGGCGTACTTTGACTGGTTGTGCTTACATGCTCTCCCACATTACGATACGATATTATGTACTGTAATACCTGATTTATGTGCTCGGTAGTCACTTCCCTGGGATCTGACTGGATTTTCCCGGCGGAAGCGGACCGGAGGGTGGAGCGGTCCATGCTTTCTACTTGAGTGGACTTGGTGGGTACGTGTTTTGTTCACGTGGAAGGGCGGGCGGGATATTAGGATATCTGTGCTAGTATTGCTAGTTTCTGTTTAGTCTGGACATGGTACAAATTAGCCTGGAGTTATATAATATAGGGGAATGATCACCAGAGTGTAGTCTCCACAGAATAAGACATTAACCCGGGGGTTATTCAGAAGGTTTGGTGTGAAGACGAGTCTCACTATTGATTGCGATGTTACAGGTCATACCGCTGCCAAAAGCCGATATGTCCGCCAAGTGAACGGAACCCGGGCCATGGGTACGGAGTACTCCGTGGGCTATGTGGAGTACTTGAGCACCATCTACCCCGGCGATCCTGACTGTGGTTTGACCAATGTTATCGCAGTACCTACCCAGGTTCATATTTCTATCTCTGTCAGGGGATTCGAAATAAAGAAATAGCATATCTATCTAAATCATCCCCCAAAAGCTTACTTGTCTCTTTCCTATCTGACGACAATCTGGCTATCAACAACCCTGCAAATAGGGGCGTCAGGGGGTGTTACGGGCGACACCCCTGCATGGGGACTTAAGAACGGGTGACATGCGCAAATCAGCGTACCTACACTAAAACTAACACAGTATATAGTTACATACGTTATCTTCTATGAACCAGGGATCTCCCTGTCTGTCTCACCACCGCGCGACGCACGTGAAATCCCGAAATTCAGACTGTGCTATTGGTCCCATCCCCAAGCAAGCCAAAGCAAGGTAAGCTGCCGTGCTGTGGGCGCGGTCCGATCCTCTCGCTCCACGGTTCCATGTGGTTGGGACATGATTATCACTTCATGTGGGACTGCAGCATTAAGTTTTAAGAAGTAAAGACAAATACAAATCCACTTGAGTATGTCGGCAGTTTATCCAAAGTATATACTCCGTATGTGCCTAAACAGGATGCTTGATTCGGTTTATTGCTAAACAAGGTTAAATGCGGGTAGGACAGGGATGTTGATCATCCTAACCTCAGTAACTGCGTGAGTTGGGTGATTTAAAACAGTTTATTCGTAATAGTGCGGCTCCTGCTCTTTGCGTTGGAAACTTTCGTCCTACCTCTGCCGTATTCCTAATTCTTTACTCGTTCCCAGATGCGACCAAAGTGATAGCGTCACCCGGGCTCTGATCGACGTGTTCATGGGTTTGGGGTGTTCGCCCAGGAGGGGTAAAACGCATCCAATCATCTACCTACGTGTCGGCCACTGACGACACAATCTATGCAAGATTAACTTTGGGAATGGGGGCCAAGCTATTAATCCCAGTCGAATGTTGTTGGAGAGTCAGTCACCCGCCAACCAAACACTACCCTGATTCAGGAGCTAGTTTCTGGTATTGGTTCTTGTAGATCTGACTTTTTACTATTTGTGCATTTGGGCTTGTGCGTACATCATATCCAATCGCTTCTATCCAATCGCTTCTCACTGGTCATTCAGTATCTGTCATGCTCGGGTTGAAGTTCCCCAGTTTACGGAGTACTCCGTACTCCATACTGGGCTATACGACGTACCCACAGACTCGAATATGGATCTAATCATCTGATCTCTAAATCGGCTAAAGAGGAATATGTCGTGGATGTCTTCTAACCCCGTGACAAACTCGAGGGAAGGCGTTACACTGTGCCACCTGTGGCCGAGGCAGATGAATTTTGACAAGTGTTCGCAGGTCCGAGGATAGATTGATAGCACACCCCCGGTGTATCTTGTCGTAAAATTTACTAGGGAGGTCCCCGAGGTGATATTCCCTGCAAGTCGGGCATGTGCTGTTTATTACCTGTACCTAGGATCACTTCCTCCTCCCCTTTCGAGTATCGCATGTAGACAAACAATATATTGTATAGGATGAGAGCAAAACATGAAATGACTCGTCAAGCCACAGTACTCCAATCAGGTATCTGTCAATTTCAACATGGACGCAATAGGCAGGAGGGTCTTGCCGCATATGCACGATCTAGATCGACTATTCCTATACATCTTCAAATCAATTTCGAGATTCCCCTATACATCCCTAATGATCGACACCCATTGCACGGGATCTCGGGAGCCAGATGGTATGAATGCCAACTTCGGATATATGTCCCAAGCCCACCGACCGGGTTTATAGTGTTTTGATTGGATATATCACACAATTCACCCACTTAATCAAAATTTTGATCTGTCACCTTTGGATCTTAACTTGGCATGTCGATCCCGAATAAAAGCGAAGCGAAACAGAGATTTAATGTGAAATTCATGCAAAGGATTCACTAGCAACAATTATGTGGATCATACATCTCCACTCAAAGATACGTGTTTATCCCAATTGTGCTTTTACCTAACTAGTAGTTTTACAAGTCTTTACAAGTACAGTACAATATGCCAAATTTGACTGTGCCACAATGAAAGAAGCAAAAAGAAGCAAAAAGAAGCCAAAAATCAAAATCCACCTCCACTCCCCCCACCTCACTAGCCACTCTTCCCGTCCTATGGGGGAGTGCATTTCCTCCTCCCCGAAGATGACGCAAATGATCCTTAACTCCACCCATTGAGGCGGTGTTACGATCTTATTTTTCTATGACGTTGGGTAACACTAGACATGCCAAACCCGCAATCCACAATTAATTTATGTGAAAATCGGGCGCTCCGACATAAAATTGGTAGGAAAATTGTCTCAGAGTCTTTGCATTCGTTTTCGTATCTGCCCCTGTCTGCAGATAGAAACCCGGGTGCAATTGGTCTGAGCGCGCAGGACGAGCACGCGGAAGGTGTGCGTGTGGTAGGACGAATTCTTGTAGATCATCTGGTAAGGTTAGACCTACCACCCGGGTATACATAGGGTGCAGGTGCATCGGATACTGTCGATCAGGTTTTTTGTTGTGATTAGGTTCTATAATTTGGCGATCACATAGCTCAGCAGATGCAGATGCAGATGTAGATGCAGATCCTCCTGGGTTGGTGGTGTGGTGCTGCAGGGTCTGCCCTTTATTTTTGCCGAGTAAACTGGGTGTGTAGGAGGGGTATGTGGACGCGGTCAGGCACCCCTATGATAATCCTGGGATTGAGACTTGTGGCGTACATCCACCAGGTACGTCTACACTGAGCATAAGGCGTGAGTTGGTTTGTGGGGGATCTTCACTGTCTGAGCTCGGTCCGCTGCTTATGTTGGGTTTTATACGATGTATACCCGGGCAACCCGCAGGCATCGCCCATGTTCCTCGAGTTTGCGATAACGAGGTTGGATATTGGGGATTAATGGTGTTCGGTATGCAGCATGGAATATGTCTGTATCTTCTCGTTGGCCTTGTGGCTTGTCCTGAGTCGGGGTCCCAATTTGGCATCTCGAACGCGTCTGCAATATAGCCAGACTCAAAATCACGAGATACCATTCGCCGAACCCAGACATAGGCATGTCTAGACCAGATGTGTATCGAACGACACGGTTGACTTCTAGAAGGACTTCCATGCAATGTCGACTCAGTCCCTGCGGGCCTTACAAGCAATACATACATACGCACGTCAGAATCGACCAGGATATGTCATGAAACACCCACCCACGCACCAGGGAATTACCATGCAGATGCAAAATGCCGCAAATTCTCCGCGGTCCTATCGAAAACACAGTTCTAGATTTGTCGTCTTTAAAAACACGAGACCTTCTATTTGGTCGCGGCCCACACCCGCGATCAGACTTACCTGGTTCTTGGGGTCAATGTTGTGTAACGAGTAAGCAAGGCGAGATGGTATGGGAGTCAACGTAAGATTAAGACCTATTAGCAATTTGTAATAGCTGTCAACGAATGAATTGTTGTTGTTCGCCATGTCGATATATACTTTTGGCTATTTCGGTTTGATATATGTTGCGAAGGAGTAACCTCGCCAACCCCCATCTCAACGCCCTAGCCACTAACACTATATGATATACCGGACATGCATTATACGAACCCGCACCACCGCATGAAACATAAGCCAAGAACACATAATAGGAAAAGGACCCCGATCCACGTTGAAACACGACTGTGATACAGAAACCTATTTCACCCTTCAATCCACGCCACGTAAGATGTAAACCATAACCAAAGTCAAAGACAGAAGATTATACTTACCAAATACTCCTATTTTCAAATGTAACGCAGTCTATAACAAAGTACCAGCAAGACTAAAATAACAAACCCATTCCCAGGATAGAAGATTACTTCCCCAAAGCGTCCATATTAGCCGAACATCAACACCTAATCCAATCCATTAAACGAAACCCCGGTTACGCAGAACTATCGCGTGTTTGTGCTCCCTCCGTATACAAATATGCGAGATCAGTTCCCGATCTACTCGCACAGAGAACCATGGAAGCGTCGGTATTTACTTGTATGGACACATGATATGTCGAAGCCAGGATTGTACCCGGATACCTCCGATGAAGAATGTAAATAGGTAAGACGTGCAAAGGCAAAGAAGGCAAGTACAAAGAGGGTAAATTAACTCATTCTCAAGTACGATACTCAAGGGAGAATCTCTAAAGCAGTATATCCCAGGTCAAACATAACTCCAATAACCCGAAACATAACCCCAAACCAAGAACCAAGAACCATCGCCACAAATCACCACGTGTACGACGAACCCAAACAAAAGAAAATAAAAGAAAACCGAAAACAACCATCCAGCCACTCGCCTGTTTCTCCTTAACCCGTCAATTTGTCATTCCCAGCGCCCATCTGTGCAACATACGTCCGTCTTGCTTTCCGCATATAACTACATGTACGTGTACACGTGAGCAACCACCTAAACCCACCCCACCCCAGCTCAGCCCGGTCTGAGTCGATATACTGGGGTTCGAGTTTGGGCTTTGAGCAGGGTTGTTGGAATGGGCTGGTTTGTTTCGAGGGGGTGGTACTTCTGGAGTTGTACTTTAGACACACATACAGATACAGGTACAGATACAGATGCAGATGCAGATGCAGATGCAGATACAGGTAATAAAGAAAGATGGAGTATAGCGTGTCTCGTGTACTTTTGCCTCATACCATACATACCTACATGTACATATAATACCGTAGGTACTTTGTAAATGATAATGACAATAGGAATGCTAATGCTAATGATATCATGTAATATCGATCTGACCTGCATGGAACACTTGTACTGCGTACTGCGTACTCGGATATGTGTATATAGTACATGGTATATAGTAGCGGTAGCTACATAACTAGTTAGCACGTGGTACTTAGCACGGAGGTAAATAGTACATGGTACATATTTCTATTTCTACTTTTACTTCTACTTGATTATACTTACATACATGTACATATATCATGTACATTACTACATGCATACACATACAGCAAGCCCGTCCCGAAGGCCATCTAAAGTCCGGACGGGGCCGAAGGGTGAGTCCCAAGACGAAGAGTTGCACGACAGCTTTGATTCTGGATGTTGGCTGGGTTGGGAAGGGGGAGGGTCTGGGTTTATGGTCTTGTGATCTTTTTTGTTTGGTCGGGTCAAGGGGTTACCTTGGGTTTATGGGTGTGGGTAAATGGGGATGGAGGGGGATATGGAGGGGAGAGGAACTTGGGGTTGGGATCGGGGTTTGGATTTTGAATCGGGCTTGGGTGAGGGGTTTGGTGCCTGATTGACACTGGGTGTGGATTCTATGCATGGGAGGCGTTGGCGTAGGTGGTTAAGTACGTTAGATCAGCTACTGTTGTCGATTAAATGTGGAGGGGGAATGGGATAGTTACTGAACAGGACATGTATCAAGGAAGAAATTCCAATGTTATTGGGTATCGCACACTAAGTATATACAAACGAGTAGAAAGTGAAATTCATTAAAAGCCTCGCTCAAACCACAATCAAGATATAATAGTCTGGTTTTTATAGTAATCGCAAGCATGAGGGTGCTGCAGACAATATTTGGGCACAAGAACAGTAGCCATAACACCATTAGCAACGAGGTATTCACGGAAGTTAAGCAGGCGTTGAGTCATGTGGTTGGTACGCTTTCTGCCCGCAGCATCACGGTTACCAGACCAGACAAGCTCACCCAGCGCAGCAGCACGAGGCCAGAACGCGCTGGAGATGGTCACATCGTCAGTCTGCTCCGACCACAAAGGAGCCTCAGCGCCGATAACGTGTTTCGCCTCGGAGGCAGTGAGATTGGTCAGGAAGTCGTAGTTGTAGATTCGCTGCCAGGTCTTGTAGGGTGCGCACCAGTCGCCGCCGCCGCCACCGTAGTTGAAGGTCACGCCGCCGGCAGTGTTGCTCTGCTCGTTGTAGCGGGGGTCATTGGTGATGGCACCACCGTGGCCGCAGTCGAGGTAGAGGAAATCGGAGGTGGAAACGACGACGTCGTAGCCGGCCGAGGTGAGCTTCTTGATATTACCATCACCAGCATTCCAGCTCTGCATGACGATGTCTTTGGGAACATCGTGAGCGCTCTCAGTTGCGATGGCAATGTCTTCCCACATCATGAGACGGCGGTGGTCGCCGACACCTCGGAAGATAGGCAAGGAGTGGTCAACCCAGTACTGACTAAGGTCATTATAGGTGCGCGAGGGATCCTCGGCAAACCACTTGGTGACGTGACTGCTAAAGTTATAGCAGTTGATCTGGATCTCGTCACCACCAACGTGGAAGAAGTTGTCTCCGAAGATACGAGACAATTCTTCGTAGACATTCTTGACTACTTCGTAGGTCTTGGGATAGATAATATCAAGCTGGCCGGGGTTCGGCTGAACCGCGGTGTGTTCCGCCCACACGTCGTTCGACCACCAAGAATTGGCACAAGCCACGATCTCCGGGTCAACCTGTTGCCAGCCCGAGGCAGAGTGGCCGGGCATGTCGACCTCGGGGATGACGCGAACACCTCGCTCCCTGGCGTAGGTAACCACGCGACGCATGTCTTCCTCCGTGTAGATTTCGCGAGGCGAGTAAGCATCTTTGGTCATCTCGGGGTAGGAGCTCATCTGCATGGGCCACGACTGGGCATCGTCCAAATGCCAGTGGAGAACATTCAGCTTGGACAGAGCCATACCATCGATCTGTTCGAAGATCTTGCGAACGGTGATGAAGTTGCGGCCGGTGTCCATCATGATACCACGGTGGGGGTACAACGGGGCATCTTTGATCTTGACGGGCTGTTCAATGATCAAGCCGCCCTTGCCATCCGAGATGATAATCTGCTGCAGGGTGGTGAAGGCGTGCAATACACCCCAGGCCGTCTGAGCATTGATCTGAATTCCGCCATTGGCCACCACCAGTGTATAGGATTCATCCACGCCATGTTGAAGATCGACATCGGTATCCACTACATGGACATTGACGTTGTGGGCTGCCGAGGGCGCGCGTTTGGCATGAGTGGAGATAGGGGTCGCGGTAGGGAAGGCTGGATAGGAGACGATAGGGGCTTCAACGGCAGCAGGAACCCATTGCAGGGTAGTGATGGTTGTCCATGCTCGCTCCCAAGCTTGAGTGACGATAAAAGAGTGAGTACCGTTCAAATGCAAGTGGTTGACCTGAATTGGACCGGACGATCCCCAAGTAATGTTACGGGGAGCCGGAAGTGGATTCACTTGGACAGCGGAAACAGCCGTTAGGGCCCCGAGTACACTCAGGACAGAGGCGAACTTCATGTTGATAAGTTGAGCGATGATGAGAAAAAGAATAAGTGAAGCAAGGAGATAACTTGACCTATTTATGTCCAGTTTCATTGCCGATCTTTCATCGGAATGTGTCTTTGATGCAACCTGGGGAAGATCGAGATTGGGGGAAAACAAATAAACAGCTTTCCTTGTTTCCTTGTTACATTGCATCCACCACCAAACCAAGTCAAGTTCAATCAGTTTGAAATGATTTAAATCATTAAAATCGTTTAAAAAGGGGGGAAAGAAAATAAAGAGGAGAGAGAGTGCTACGTCTATATGCAACTCCAATTTGCCCTTTGATAACATGAGCGACGCGAAAAAGAGGGGGAGGGAGCTACGGAACTGACGGAAGGACAGGGAAATGACACAGTCACACTCGATCTACAACATACAACATATCAAGGTAAGGTATCATAGTATATCATTTAATCTATTTATCCATTAGACAGTCTCCAACGATTTTTCCAACTCCATCCCCTCCCGGAACTCCTCCTTAATGGCCGCCGCAGCCTTATCAGAAGGCACAACACATGGTCGTCGAGGAAGACCACCATATCCATGGTATAACTGCAGACCAGTCTTAACAGCGATAAAGCCACCATGGATAGCAGCCCAGTCAGCGCGCGCAACAACAGCCTGCACCTTCTGCGCCTCCTGAACCTTACCCGCACGATACAACTCCATAACACGTACACACGAGCGAGGAATCATATTAGCCACTCCACCAATAATGCCCGCTCCACCAGCAATCAGTGTCTGAAGCGTGAAATCGGCCGAACCACCAAAAGTCAAGAAATCAGGCTTCGCAGCCGCAACACGAGCCAACTTACCCGTGTTACCGCACGTGAGCTTGCATCCAATGATATTGGGGTGTTCGGCGAGCGTGACGATATCATCTGAGCTCAGATCAAGACCGGACTGCACGCCGGGGAAGTTGTAGATAAGAACAGGGACGGGAGAGGCATCAGCCACAGCCCGGAAGTGAGCGTGCATGGCATCGGTGTTGACGAGTGCCTTGTAGTAGCTGGGTGGGAGTACCAGGACAGCATCGGCGCCTGCTGCACCGGAGTCCTGGCAGAGCTGAATGGTCTCCCGGGTTGAGGCGGCACCGGTGCCGGCAATCACGGGCAAGCTGGTGTAGCCGGCTGCGTCGACAGCGCGGCGGGTGGCGGCTGTGATGGCCTTGCGCTCTTCGCGATCTAGGTGCACGGCTTCGCCATTGCTACCCTGGGTTACTAGACCAGTTACCCCACTGCGGGCGAGGTAGACGGCGTGTTTCTCGACAGTTGCGAGGTCGACTTCTTCGTCGGGTTTGAAGAATGCTACGGTGGGGACGTAGACACCGTGGGGGAGGGGATTTCGGTTGGTTCCTTTGGTCATTTTGGGGGAAGATGAGTTCGGTCTATTTGGTTTGTTAGTACTGGTAAAGTTTCTCTTATTCTTCCGAGGTGTTCATACCAAATATATCACTGGAGAAGGAATGAAGAGGACCAATATTGGCGGATCTACAGCTATTTAGCTAGGGATCCTCTTCCCCCACGTTCACCCCACTGGTATGAATTAACCGAGTGAATTTACATTTAAAACTTGGCATTTCATACGTGGGTGATGCTTTTCTTATTCGGACATCATTTCCCCCCTCCCCCCACGCTTTATGCGGGGTTTACTTCCGAGGTGATGGTATGTTGTATATGATGGTGTACTACTGTTGTACTTTTTATTTACTTATTTACTTCAATGGGAGTATTCTAAATGCTGCTCTTTCTCTTTGGAGCACCAAATCGGTGAGATCGCTTTGAGTGAGGTCTTGTGCTATAAATCTGGATATATATACTCCTACTCCTGATTCTGCTCAGAGATATATGGGTATTACTATTGCCCAAAATACTCCCTTTAATATCCAATAAAGCTCTTAGCCTTCTCAACCCCCTCACATATGGGAATAAATTGAAATTGATTGGAATCCCTGGCAATGGTTGAATTACCGTCCCCCACACTGGGGCCGTGGGGGTATTTTGTTTTCCGAGATATTGGGGATATTGGGGATATTGGGGATATCTTAGGGATAATTACATTGTTAGTATGTTGTAGATATTAACAAAGGGAATGATCTATTAAAACCCCTATGGTTTTCCCTATATTGTAGGTCGTTGCCTATATGTCTCTGAATAGGTTGACGATGATTCTATTAATTCTGAGTAGAACAATAGAAACAAGAACAAAACCATTGTAAATCTGTGAATAGAATCATATTCATAAACCAATAGACAATACTTCATACCTTCTACCTAATGTTTATATACAAACCACCTTGAACACCTTAAAACACCTTAAACACCTCTCTGCCAAGAACTTCTCGCATGCCCATAACTCGTCAAATCCTGTAAAACCTTGGAAAGGGAATCTCCCCCCCAAATCCACCAAACAATGAACTGATCTCCCAACAATGGCCCTCCTGTCGCGGTCTTCCCTCCGTTCTGTGCGACGGGCGCCCGAAGAACCTGCCGACAGTCAAGCACCGCCGAAGAAACCGCGCATCGAAAATAGCGACCGCAAGAGTTCCCCCGATTGTCTTGACACGAAAGATCCTACCTCGAAAACCTGTCCCACCTCCTTGAAACCCTCGCGATCGCGCACGTCCAATCGCACTCGTCGCAACTCCTCCTCGTCCGTGGACACAGTCGCCTCCTCCGTCGGACGTACAAACGGAAATGGCACCCTCAAGACCCCACGCGTCCGGCGTGACCAAGGAACCCCCTCCGGCGCGGCTCTGCTGCGTGGTGTACATGAGTCGCCAGATCCATTGGACACGATCTCTCCAGCGCCCTCGGTCGCAAAGCAGCGCACCGTTACCCCAGCGAACGTGGACTTGAATGTCAAATCTACTTCGCCTGTGACCCGCACGACTCGTCGCAATGAGAATCGATCGCTGGCGGACGTCGACGAGAACGCGATTAAGAAAGAGGGTGCTTTGGAGGACGCGACTCCGACGCGAGAGAACAAGACCGAGGCTGCATCGGTAGACACACGGTCGGGGAGACGGTCGTTGCGTTCAACAGATACCGGATCACGGTGCAAGAGCGAGCTTGCGCAGTATTTCCACAACTATGAACAGATTATCAGTCTGGAAGCCCCTGAGCCTGGTAAGTCACTTGACATCGTGGGAGTGCATAGAGCGCATCACTGATATTGGATACTATACAGAATTCCTCGCCGCTAAAACAACCATCTCTCTCGTTGACGATCTATCGCGACCACTACCTTTCTGCTCAAACCCTGACCCTACACCCTTCGGCAACCCGCTACTCAAGCTCTACGACTGTGAGAAGATTACCCTGCCCGCACCCACATCGAACACACCTACAACCGACCCACTGAGTGAAGAGACCTACTTCCGCGCGCATCGCAAGTTCGAAAGACAGGAGAAACAACTCCGCAATATCGAGCGCAACCGCGCCCAACATGAACAGCAAGTCCTGGAGCGCCTCCTAGACGAGCTCCGCGGCCATGACTGGCTACGTATGATGGGTCTAACAGGAGTCCACGAAAGCGAGAAGAAGCTGTACGAGCCGAAACGCGATATCTTAATCCAAGAGCTAGTCACTCTGGTCAATAAGTTCCAAGCATGGAAAGACGAAGAGCGTCGACGAAAACTGGAAAAAGAAAAAGCTCACCCGGTGCCAGGAACTGAGGCAGCACCCAATGCCCAGCCCCGACAGCACTCGCGCAAACGATCCCGCCCCGCCGACGGCGTGGATAGCTCCCCGGCACCGGGGACTGATATACACAGCACACCAGACGTAGACGCAGAGCCAGATCCAGACCCAAGTGACATCGATGCCTTAGCTGCGCGTCAGCTCCATCAGGAAGCTCGCTCAGCTGGCGCTGCTAAATCGCGCAAGACCGCCCCTGCTGCTCGCAAGTCTATCTCCAAACCGGCCCCCAACACCAACACTACCAACACTACCAACACCACCATTACTACTCCCAACACCAACACCAAAGACCCTGAACCAACACCAACACCCACTCCCAAACGAAAAAAGCCCAATCCAACACACACAAAACCTCAACCCGCAGCCCCAACTCCAACCCAAAAACCCGCCCCAAAACTCCAACAAGCCTCCCTCTCCCACTTCTGGAACCCAGCCCCACGAACCGGCCCCTTCACCTCCTTCTTCCGGCAACGACACGTCCGCGAAGCAGCCATCGCCGCGACAAACGGTATCCGCCGCGGCGGGTCCCGCTCAACACTCGCATTCGGATACCCGGTTCCTGAACCGGCGGAACAGGAATTCGAGTTACCGCCGGAGATCCTGAATGAAGATTCTATTCAGCAGTCGCAACGGAAGAGGAGGAGACTTAAGAGACGGAGTTTGGGGGGTTGATTGGATGTGGTTTGTTCTACAATGGTGCATGGTGCATGGTGCATGAAACATGGTGGTCGGATCTTTTTCTGTATGATAGCATTTTTACTAGCATGGCGTTTCTGCGGGTTTCTTTTATCTTGTTTCTTGCTATTTTCGGACTGAAAGTCCGCTGGCGCTGGCGCTGGCGTTGGGTTGGTGATGGATGGGATTCATCTGGGCTGAGGTTCGCAATTTTTTATTTTTTGTACACATACATTAACTAGTTAGTTCATGGTCAATCTAAACCATTGAATACGTAGATATTATTATCTTGAATTCGGTATTGCCAGCACAGCCATCAAACCTCTAGAGAGTAGTATGTATGTTGGATGTTGGATGTTGGATGTTGTATGCAGGTAATCAGGAATATCATACCGTTGGTGTCAAGGATACATACTTCCATTCGAAGATGGTGCATCTGCATCTGCATAGCCGCCGAGATGATCCTTCGTGTACTAGCAGTGACAGGACTCGGAATACAGCTTCCCAACGCAAGTCAAGATTGTATTGGTTTCGTCTGGGTATCGCAAGTTATGAGCTTGTATGTTGGTTCTCGAGTTGGCGTCGTTCATATCGGGTCATCCTTGCTTCGAGACTATGGTCTATCCTTCTGTTAGTGGTGGGAAGCCCCCCGCGAAGAGAGTGTGTGGATTTGTCTTGAGATTGATATATTACTCTCTCTGGCTTCTCCGACTCCACCGGCAAAGCATGGTTAGACGAGGCGGATGGAAGCCTGATAGTAGATAAAGCTTAAGTGGGGGGATAATTGGGTTTATTCTATCATGGCTTCAAGATGAGTGTATATAGGAACTATGAGAAGTTTCATTCTGAATAGTATTTGGCCTGCTTAGCTCTGTAAAGCATGGGAAGATATTGGGTCTTCCCGCCAGTGCAGGAGACCTATACATGGTTCACACAGGCATGATGGTTAGAATAGTATCGTGCGAGAAGGATGCATTTCTCACTCTGGCAAGGCACTCATATAACTTGGCCGGTAACGATGCCGCCGCGAAAGAATCTGTCAACGTCCTAGTGGGCTCAATCGATGAAAACCCATGGAAAACAGAAAAAAACTTTCGAATTACCTCTGTAGTTTGTCACTCAAGAGGAAGTATGAGCACTTGGCTTTCGCGAGGACCGGATGAAGCTTTTCTTTCTCAAGGAAGAAAGTGAATCGTTGATACTTTGCATCATGAAGAATGTCTCTGTGACAAGATGAACTTGGCCCTTATGAGAGTCAGTTGTATCAAAGCATTCAACCGTATATCCAGACATATCCATCAAGCGTGTCGGGCGCCTTGGACTGTTGGTAGTGCGATGTTTGGACACGACCTTTTGGTGCAGTCCGTCTTTGAGATCCCAGGTAGGAGAGCGATCCCTGCCCTTCAGCAAGTTTGATAGTGATTTCTCCTTGTTTGGTTTCTCCTGGCTATACTGCCCCTTCTAGGGCGGGCTCCAAGGCAGGAATAGCTTAATTTTTCACGTTTATCCTTACAGGGATTTTGGATGGCGAGCTCGAAAAGGTGGGAGAGGCAGCAGTTCGACAACGTGGCGGATGTCAGAGTGTTGGAACTGAAAGGATTGCCGTAGAAACGGCTTATTGGAGGCAGTATAAGTAAGATGGGATGAAGAAACACAGGAGTTGCCTAATATCGATTCATAGACGGGGAGAACTTGACAGAGGTGAAGAAAACAACTAAGTCGACACCTCTTAGGTTCTACACAACCTTTATCAAACACCTCGCACTACCTATATATGTATATGTAGGTATATAGATACCTTCCTTCTCCTTACTGGAATCGTCCATCTCTTTTCATATCTTGGTTTTCCATATATCTCAGTTTTCTGGGAACTTTACTTCCGCTTATATTCACTTTTCCTATACTCTATCTTCCTCATCTCCCACTTGCCTTTCGCAAAATTACGTTGTGATGTGACCATGTGGGTAGACCCGGGAAGAGGGGGATTTGAGCATTCCCCTGGCGATGAAAGAGAATCGCAGAATCATGATCAAACTCGAAAAGTACGAATGGGATCCAGCAAGCCAGGAATCTCAAGAGACAGAAAATTGTCCTGAACAAAAGTGAACCTAAATTCAAAAGCTGTGGGTGCTTCCTCGTCATCCCTTTCCACCTTTTTTTCAATCAAACCTCCTCCTCATATCTGGTTGAAACAGATATTCAACCGGATACAGAAGCGACTGAGGATGCGTGCATTACCCGGAGTCTTGACCAATCGCAATCACGAGCGCATGTCGCACGGAGTATGAGAAGCCCTACCGAGAATCGCGGACAAATATCACGCCTAGGAGTTCTCGCAGCGTGGAGGTTCAGATTCAGAGATCCTGGGTCTTGGCCTCATTGTGACCTTTACATCTTTCATGTCGCAATTTCATCCTCAGAACTTCCTTACACTTGGCGAGGTCCGTCATACCGTGCCACAGCCTCGAGCTCCTCGCCACAGCCTACATCCTGGAGCTAGCAACCCAAGATATCGACATGGTATAGGCTAATGTTGCTCAGAATCTCCCCAAGGACCGTTCTTTCTCGACTGCGTTGTCTAAGCCCAAGAGCAAAATCGACCTATTGAAACTAGCTTTGCTCATTGAGTAACATCTTGTCAGGCTGGTATTAGGTTGCTGGTCGATAAAACACTCTTTCACGAGGGTGCCTCTGGAGATAGAACGGTCAAACTAGTTACCCTATGGTCTTCAAGTGAGCGGATTCAAGGAACTTGTTGCAAACCGGATCTCACCCTTCATAGCATGACAAAGGATACGTGGTACACTTACAAACATGTCTGATTTGGGGGATAGTAATGTATTGTTAGAAGTATGCCTTTGCTACACAATGGGAGGAAGAAGACAGGCTTGTTATGCAGAGGTGGGTAAATACAAACAGTTGAACTGGTGAGAAAGTAGGTGCTTGGTATTGGTAATTACTGTAATATTACCCACCTCATCGCGTCTTCCCGCGACACCTCTCATCTTCCTTCATCAACCACGGGCCATGCAGGTCCCCAATGTAACTCTGGTGAGTTTCTCCATCATCAGTAATCAAGATATTCTCTAACTTCTCCGTCTTATCTAGGATGACCTCCAGGCCTTCCAATCTAAGCACTTCTTGGGTCAACAGCTGACCGTGGTTTCCCAAGAAAATGACCAAACCACAGACGAGGATCTCGGATACTACCCAGATGGAGTGAAGCGCACACTTACAGATGAGCAAATTCGCATTTTCAGACACAGTGAAATCCATGCCCTGCTGCGAGAGAGGCAGCTCAAGGATGACGAGGAGCAGTACCAAGCTCGGATGCAGCCATCTCTAGATGATGGACCAGAGGGGAAACCGGACACTGCATCGGAGAAGCGGCCTCTAGATGCTGAGTCTCAGATGCAGGGTGGAGAACAGAAGCGGTCGAAACCACAGCCACGGAAGGGATCTAAGAAACACACTCGAGAGGATAAGCCGTCGACGCTCCTAGACTACGGGGATGACTCTAGTGAAACGAAAAAGGCTAGGCCACCGGTGTCACAAATGCCCTACCAAGGTCGCAGAATTATCTCCTACGATGACTGACCTGATCTACCTAACATGCGCGATGTTCAAGTCAATTCCCCCATCTCCAGATTGAGCACCTGGTCAGAACCCCCTGTCTTTGATTCAATGGACCACCCAAATCTACACTCTCCACAGAACCGACAAAGCGGTAAGTTATCCAAATTCTATTTCACTATACCCTTGCCCGTTCATGATGAATACATCGTATCATCCTTAGCCGGAAAGCCATACCATCTGCGGATGTGTGAGGCATTGACGACTTTAATCTTCTCTCTGAGGGCTTCTTCATACCTTTCAATCACATGCACACATGTCTAGTTGCGGTTCTAACAGCTTAACAGTTCTTACTTCACGTCGGCTTCTTTTGCAAGCGTGTCACTTTTCCAATCCGCGCAAAGGATCGCCGGCCCACCACTCCCATGAAGACGCTCTCAGCAGTCACTTTCTATCGCTGGATATCCCGAACGACATGATGATGAAATTGATTCGGCTGGCCCTGCAGCCGCTGGATCTTTGTCCAAAGCACTTCCTTCGTCTTGACGATTCTACCCAGAAGAAATGCGACTAGCCTGCCCTTGCCAGTTGATCAATTTACCGGTTATACATTCACGGTCGCCAAGGGCCACGATCTTCAACTGTTGAATATGTGGCATCTGCTCCGCGGGCTCTCTCGTACCCGTTGAAGATCGATATCAGAACCGTTGGTGTCACAAAGTGAGCAACCTTGGCCATATGTGCATGTAGTGCCTTGGAGTAGCATACTGTTAACCGTGAGAATGACACCCGATCTTCGGCTTATCCGATTATCGAGACCCAATTTCAACCGAGCTACCATTCATACAAATTTCACGATGTATTATTGCTAGCCGAGTGGGTTCGCAGCCATCACCCATCCCAGTCACAAAGAGCAAACTGGGTTCGTCGTAGCTAGTTCACCTCGTCACTCGCCTTTCTCTCCTCCACTCAGGCGAACTACCTACCCGAAAAGATCCCATGCTGGATCTCTCCGCCCTCAACAATCGAACCGGCATGGATATACCACTTACCAGAGAGCACACATTCCCACCAACCCCTACCATAGAACACAAATCGAGGACCTCTCGTGACTTTATTCGACTTGTTCCCAGTCTTAGGCGACATCCCAAAGGACCACAAACAACCCGGCCAACCGCAGGGATTGCCAGGATGCCATTGAAGACTTAGGTATTACATCTAAGGTCTAAGGCAAAGGCGAGCAGTCAAGATTTCAGTATATGATTATATTTGTACACGTCTATTTCCATGCAGCGCTGTGGTATGTATATGCAAGGAACAAACAATTAAGTATGCAGGGCAAAACCAAACTCAAGCAGCAACTTGAGATCGAAACAAGGTATCCAAAACATCCAAACAGATGCCCAAAATGCGAAACCAGAACACCAGAAACCCCTTCCCAAATACAAGTTTTATACAAGCCAAGCCAGCCAGCACACATGCAGCTAAGCATTATTCGCACAAGAAAAGCTAGCACTGCTGGGGTTATCATGAAGAGCTTTCCCAGAGACCCAAAGACCGAGACCACACAATGCGACGCCAACAACAATAGCAAAGAAATTCAGACAAGTAAGGGCAATCTTCTTTGGCGAAGAAAACCACAGACCTTTATTCATAAACAACCAAAAGATCCCACTGAAGCCGTAGGTAAACCAACTGGCAAACAGCGCGGTAATCAAGCTGAGTAGGTTACTGAAGACCGGAATGGCGGAGGAAATAATCCACGCTAGGATCCACAAGCTGAGAGCAATACCGATCCACGATCCGGTGGCGATCCAATCACGCTTGTGCATACGGTCTGTACCTTGGAAGATACGCAAGTACACATACTTGAACGCGACGTGGCCGTTGATGACACCGGCGATGATGATAGTCGGTAGGGAGATTCCGTATGCGACTTTCGCGACCATCGGCGAGGCGGAGCCGAGTGCCGGGGAGGTCACACTGCTGCCGGCGTAGCGGTAGATGACCAGTGCGGCGGTGATGTACAGGCCCATGTCGATACCTTGCAGGAGAAGGAGGGATTTTGTGAAATCTTTTGGGTTCTTGAGTTCGGCCATTAGGCCGAAGAAGGCTGCGTGGCCGCAGAAGGCGAAGACGATGTTGCAGACTGCCGAGAAGCCGTGGAAGAGGTCTGTGTTGACGACTGCGACGACGTCTTGTCCTGGTTTTGTGATGCCGACTGCGATCATGACGATTATGACTGATGTCATGATGCTTGCGAATGCTGGGGTTTGTTAGTTGGTTGATATGTTTTTTTGGGACGGGGGTGGGTAGGTAGGTAGGACGGGGAGATGAGATGGAAACATACAAACTATGGATAACCATGACATCTTTTCTAGAGTGCGAGGTAATGAACAGATGAAGGAGATGACCATGCCGACGATGCCGAAGACGATGGAGCAGGTGCCGTGGTTTGTGATGGTGTTCATGGCAACGGTGAATGTCAATAGGTGGCTGGCCATGATGAAGATGAAGAAGATGATCTGTGCAGCACCGAGGAATTCTCGTCCCCATTTTCCTCCTATCACTTCACCGGCATCTGCCATCGTGGAGATGTGTGGATATCTCCATTTCATCTGTCCGATCACGTAGCCGGTGTATGTGGCCAGTGAACCTAGGAAGACCAAGACGAGGATGGCACTGGGGATATGATTAGCTTCAGTTCGTAGCTTCAATTCGTGCACTGTGAGTCAGAAGGTAGGCTTACGGAAGAAGTCCTAGACCTGCCACAGCGGCAGGCAGTGAAAGCACACCCAGTGATACTGTTTCAGCAACCATCACTAATAGAATGTTAGATTTGGAGGTTGGAGGTTGAAATTTTGATATAGATGTTATCACATACGCAGACCACATTGCCTAAACAAGATATAAGTTAGCAAGATAGATATTGCACGTTTCGAGCTATTGCAAACATACCACCACTTGAGTACTTTGTACTTGACTTCCGCGAACTCCTCGTCACCAAAAGCATCCTGTCTGACTTTCGGAACCTCAACAAACTTCTCGGGATCAGACTGCAAGTCGGCGGGATTGACATAATGACTCTTCTCATTGGAATCGAAATCCAAACCAGCAGGCGAAGAGCTCATAGCGAAGATATCAAACCTCAGGGACGTATACCCGGGAAGTAGATATCACGACAGGAATCGAACAAAAAGCGGAGAAAAAAGAGCGAATCACTTGATACAACAAATTGAGAAGAGATCGAGATCTTAACGAAAGGAATAGTATTATAAAAAACCTTCTACGAGAAAAAAAAAAAGCACCCACCAAGTGAGTAAATTGAAGAATAAAGAACCCGCCACCCGAAACAGATGTGGATCGCCGACCAGCGGACCGAGACGACGAATCATCTCGTCGGGACGTAATGGAAAAGCCGAAAAGGACTGGCTCGTTGGGTCCAAATGGACAAATCTGCTGGTCAAAACTGGGGAAAATCGAAAACTTCGCTCCGATGCCGGCCTCCTATTATAGACGTTCGTACCTGACTTGTTTTCTATAGAGGTGTCTTGGATGATGAAAATTTTGAAAATCTCGAAAATCTCGAAAACCGTTAAAAGATCAGAGGTAAATATTTCCACGTGCAGATTTTAGGGGAACCTTAAACCCATGAGCTTATTTTTACTTATTTTTATAGGTCTGGCCTATCAAAATGGTCTTGCAGAATGTCGTGCTTGCATCTCTGCCCTAAATCGCAGGCGTTCGGTAGATCGGTCGGAGTTGGGTCGCTAGTTCCGGTTCCTAATTATATGATCTCATATGGATTTCTGCAGGGGGCAGGGAGGTAAAACGACTTTGTTTCGCTTTCGATGATTGATGAAAGGATCTGAAGCACTGAACAAGTTCAATAGGTAGTCAACCTCGAGTTTTGGATGTTTTGCCAAGATGGCCACAAGAGACAGCGTGCAATTTACTGGAAGAAACCCCCCATTTTATGAGCTTTTTCCTAATGGTATACTACTGACAATGTTCCCAATCTTTGCTTTGACGCTATCGAATCCAACCTCAATTCCCCTCAAAGCGCGCAGATCTACCCCAGCAACCCGTTCACGTTCCTTGAGACTAGGCTCTGACAGCCTCCAAGCAAGTGAGATATGGAAGCACCCCGAGAAATCCTCGTCGCTCAAACTGCTGTTCTTATCGCGGACAGATACGCTGCTCGCCTTCCCTTTTGTCGAGGCTGTTGCATAGAGTGGTGGCTGACCAAACCGAGCAAGAGTATTATTTGATAGCTTCAAGAGGCGATTCAGACCATCACGGCTTGGTCTCTGCACGCCTAAGACAAGAAACCAGCGTGTTTTTTCATAGTTAGATGACCAATACAAAGTATCCGGTTGGACGTTAAATCTAGTTCGAGCATTAGACAATAGTTCAGAAATTTTCAAGTCGGCCACATACGATGAAATATGTGAGTCGTGAATAGCCTTTTGAAGCGCCTCGGTGAACAAGACACGCTGCTCGGTGCGAAGAATCACCGGCCGAGATAGGCTGATATGGAGTGGTAACTGGGCACCGAGATCGCTATGAAGAAGACTGTGGACCGTGGGCGATTTCTCATCTGGCACTTTCCCATCTGACACATTCCCACACTGAGAGATGACATCTGAAAGGAGCGATAGCTCGTCTTTCCTCGGGTACCCTGTCAAAGTTAGCTCCTTGTACGACAGTCGTATGAAACTAAGGCGCAGCACTCACATTCGAGATAAAGATGTGTTGGCCAGTTTCCTTCCACGTGGGGAATCACGCGCGTGCGGCCGCCATGAAGGCTGGGGTCATCTTGCACGCTCACACGTGTGCTCGAGGCATAGAGGTTGTGGAATGATGCAGGTAGGGGCGGCAGTGATGACGCTGGATTGATGTTGTGGCGAGGTTTTTTGGCTGGGGGGAGAGAAGCTGTAGATTCTGAGTCAGATTCTGAATCAGAATATTGTACTAGAGACATCTCATCCGATGTGACAGGGGAGTTGTTGTGTTGATGGAGGTCTGGTTTCTTATATGTGGGGCAACCTAAAGTCGGGAGCCAATCATCGCGTTCAATTTCATCTATAAAGTTATGGTGCCTTGGTGCCTGAGTGTTGGTTAAATATCAAAATCAGGGTAGTGGTCAACGCAGAAACCTGCTTGGTCTAGTTGGGATGTCGGCCACGACATACCTACTCTAGACGGACCGTTCAGGTCACACACGTCAAGGGTTCGAACCTCGAGGACCGCAAGTCGCTGACAAGAGTTTCGCACTCTTAGGCTGGGTTTGTCATCTTTTTTTAATACATCTACTATTCTCCTCCCCATTGCCTGCTATTGTAACATAAATATAGTGCTTTCTTTACTTTGATCAAATAAGGGATTTTATGTTTTGATGATACTTCTCTACGTTGTGTTAGTAGGTCACAGGGCTGAGAACTACTGCTAGTGTAATGTTTGGACATCACGTATCTCAACTGCCTTACCCTTCGAGTGACGGTGCACAAGAAAAGGTCACTGATCATTACATTAGCACAGTCATGACTGTGATCATAATCCCAGGTTTCCACTACGATGAAGGTGATTTTACGCACCCTAGTCCACAAGAACGAACAATTCTCAATCAAAACAATACTCCTGTGTGATGAAATTGATGTAGGCGCACTAACACACTGGAAGCGAGAACCCCGCAAACTTGTCATTTCAGTCACAATCTTTGCGCGAGTATATCGTAAGTCGAGGCCCAAAATAACACCGAGTATCTTGGAAGAGGGACGACTTAATAATTTCCTAGTCTTGAGAAGCAAGACAATCATCCGTCTACTGCGGTCAAGTCTTAATCCGATCAGTTTTACGTGAAGAGGGTTATTATTAGGATACCTTGACAGGTTAAGATTGCACTAACACAAGTTGTACATTAGGTCAGTTCAAACATGAAACCGAATTATATATTTCCTATCCTCGGTGTTGCCCTTACTGTAACTGCTACACCTGTTCCACAGAATGCTGCTTCACACTTGACATCTTCCCCTTTCATCTAGTTCTGCTTCTGATGGTTCAAGTGAAAAGAGAAGATCTGGGTATGGGGTTCGTTGAAAAGTGCAATACTACACTCGCTACAGGCATACCCAATATACTCTTCCACGCTAAAACTAGCAGTAACACCTTGTTCGATTGTTCATATTAGCTTAAGAAATCGTTCTTTCTCCCATTCCGATATAAGCTCTACCTCCCGTCGAGGGATAATAGTGATAGACCTCAATTTCTCTTCTTCAAGTAACAACTTGCAAGGTTATTACGTGGAATTCCTCAGTAATAGACATACTTCAAACTTATGACATCTACACGTAGATATATATATGTGCTACCTTCAACGCCCGAGAGATATTAATTAAGTTAACGCTGGTCGCTCTTGGAGTATCACTGTCATCATCAAATGACTGAAGATCTTTTGGACGTCGTGCAGTGCGACTGAAACCTAATAGACTACACACTACCTACATTTATCCTCTCCTTATGGGATTTATTTCTGTTTATTGAAGATGTAGGTTGAATTACGACGCTTGGTTATTCAAGTTATTCCCCCTCCCCCTCGCGCTAGAGCAACCAAGGTGGTGCAATGGTAGCACGACTGCGGACGTCAATCCTCGTAAGGGGAGCCCTTCGGGGGTAGCAGTTATCCAGGTCGAATCCTGGCCTTGGCGGTTGTTCTCTTTTTGCCAGCAAAATGGCATAATGATAGAGTCATTTTGAATAGAATTTGACAAAGGATGTACATACATACTAGAGCTTATCAACACAGACTGATATTGAACCCCACATCATCATTTTTAGTGAGACAGTGTAGACCAATTCCGTCTATTAATACAAAAAATAACCTAGGCCTATACCCGGTCATATGCTAATCCTAAAGGTTGGACGACATTTTTAAACGATCGGACCAACGACCAGAATAAGAATCGGACTTGACAGATGAAACACCCCTATGACTGTCTAGGTCTATTTCTTATGTAAAATTCGAAGAGGAGTTTGAATATAAATAAATGCCATTATCCAGCTTTTTCGGTCATTCAATCTAAACGACTTTATATCAAAACCCGACAACAATACAAATCAAGACAGTGAGCACCAGTGTCTCTGCCTTTCACTTCATATAAAACTCTGAATAGTGAACACTAGTCCAACGAAACAAAGATGAAACCCAGCATTATTCTCACGATCCTTGGCCTGAGCCTTACCGCCATTGCAGCCCCTATTCCGGGTAACCGTACGCAATTTCCCTTTAAGCTAATAAGAATACTTCATAATCAAACTAAGTCCACCAAGACCTTGAAGCTCGTGATGTTAATGCCGACGATGCCAATCCTACTCCAACCCCTCCAACCCCTCCCGCACCTGCTAGTCGTCCCCTTATTCCAGCTCCCGATACCCCTCCAAACACACCTGGAAGAGGTCTTGTTCTAGCTCCCGACACCCCTCCAAACACACCTAGAAAATGCTCGGGCAATGACCCTGCAGTCCTATCTCCTTCCCCAACTCCCCCGACTACTCCAACTCCTACCCCCTCTGGACTTTGAGAAGGTGAGAAGGTGATATGGTTGGAAAGTAGCACTAGCCGAGGGTGATATTGCCGGTGCTGGTAAGGCTAGTCAGGATGAATGCACGGTACTTGATTCTTGGTGTTTGATGTGAGCTGTTATTGAGTTTACACAAATTGCCGCCGCTCTTTAAGTTATATTTTAGTATAACGAATCAGTGATCAAAGTTTCAGTTCTACCTTGTAGTCTGTTATGTGCCTATATGCACATTCTTTTATTCTTTTCTTGAAAGCCCTCGCATTGTTACTATGGCTTGGTTATTGCATTGTATTCATATACATAATTGCTCCTAGATAGGATTTCCTGTGTAATATCGCCTTCCTATCAGGGTATCGAGTGTTAAAATATGGACAGAAGAACAAACCCTTCCCTAATTTTCAATCATTTGGTTTGTTTGTTCGTATTATCGTCTGTGGCGACTAAATACGGCTATGTATGTAGTATTTTTGTAAGGGGAGAATGTAGGACAATGAAGAGTAAAAAGCGGTGAAAAGACAAGATACCCAAAGAAGAACATTTAGGAATTGGCCAAGGGGGAGTCAGTCTAGATCTACTGTAGACCAGGCCAGGGGTATATCCCACACTCCCCCTAGCGGATAAGCTTAATCCATGAACGAGTCATCGCCCGGGAACTCCGGGAACAGATATCCGGCTGGTTTTTTAATTCTTATTGAGTGAAATGATTCTTCTTGGCTGGACTGTTAGGATGACGATAATAAAATATTAAAAAACAAAAAAAAGAGAAAGAAATCAAATATATACAGGGCGTTCAGGTAGGGATGTCGTCATAGGAGTCGATCTGTATGTGGTCTGCGTGGAAGTCTCGGATGTGGGATGCAACATGGGCCTTGCATAGGTTTAGTCTTTAATGTATGGTGAATCATGGGATCTATTTTCAAGAAAAAGATAGAATTTCTAATCCAGTTGAATTATTCTTTGCCTATAATAGGGAAAGTAGATGAAGTTGTTGAGTGGGGGGTTGCGTGTAATATGCGGATGTACAATATGTATACTCCGTCTACCCATTGGGAGTCGGCAGCCTCACGAAGTAAGTCCAACATGTTGACCCACATAATTTTGTATTAGAAGTGATATAATTGGTATAGTAGGTAGTAAACTGAAAAGCTAATGAAACTACTAAGCCCACTTTAGAGACTACCTATGTACTAGACCAATCTATAGCCCCGAGGATCAATTAAGCGTCGGAGAGTCATCACGTCACGTCCGCGGCTTCCCTTTGATATAAGCTCGTCTCTAGTAACTTACTATTCTCCCATCTACATCTACCCATCTCCATCCATTTCTCTTCTTTTTTCTTACATTCATCATCCTCAGCTGCTGTACGAGCTACCCTGCATCACTCAGCCTCAGCTGTTCTAAATAAAGTACTTCTTACTTATATCACCGGGTAATCCTCGCGCCTGGCGCCTTTCATCCTGGATACCTTTTCATCATACAAGAACCCATCAAACAATCTGGAAATGGCAGTTGACTGCATCTCCGTGGCATCATCACATCATCCTCATCATCCCTTCAACCAACTCAGTCAAGATCGATACCACAACGTGGGAACAAGCATGCGCAGCAACAACCCGTATGCGTGCTATCTTTCACCAGCGCCCTCCTACTCTCGACGGTCGCGTTCTGACTCTGTGAACTCCACACCTTCAATCTGGTATTCCGGCGCACCCGAACATCATCCGATGGAGCCGAGACGCAAACGCGAGCACTCTGCTCCCCATTATCGCCGCAGCAACAAGTACTCCCGCCACTCACAGCGTGTGCAACCCGACATCATCGACAGGTTGGACAATGCCACCAATTTCTCCTATCATCACGAGGGCCCGTACGACGCAGCCCGCCCTGAACGCAACCGCTTTGCGAAGTCCAGCCCGCTGGAAGCTGTCAAAGAGTCAAATGCCGAGGCTCTCCGGGCGACTCCCCACCACAAGATCGCCGACGCCTTAAACAGTCACCGCCCACTCGATGGCGTTGCCTTTTATCCACCTGGAACCATGGATCGCAACGGCCAGGAGTACTCTTACGAGGAAGGCTCGAATATGATGAACGACTTTGCTGGTAACTTCATGCGTCTGCCTGGCACGGTATGTCTTTCTCTCCCAATATTGTTATGTCTTCATTACTGACTCGGTTCCAGAAATTCACCGATGAGGACTTCAAGAACGATCCATTCTACCAACGTCCCCTGGTGAACCCGTTCTCTGAACTACGGAAGAAAATCAATCTGCGACTCAAGAAACGACGCAACACTCATTAAATGGGTCTCCAACTTTGACAACTTCACGACCCTGACGAAAGACTACTTGATGATTACTACAGAATTGATGGCTGGATAGCCTGGACTATTTGGGATTCGGGGTTTGGGTTTTGGTTGGGTTTCAATTTTGGGATTTTGGGATATGGAATCGGTCATGTGTTAACCCTTTTGTATTCGGGAGTTTATGGTTATATTAATTTATCCTGTATATCGATAAATCATGTATGTACTTTGACAAATGAGAGGCCAAGGCCATTTTCCATTTTCCCCTCGTGTTCGTGTTGGTGTGACTAGTCAACTCAGCCTTGCTGCTTTGAACTTTAATATAAATGATTCCACCTTCCACTTGTATAACTATATAGTTATATATGATTGAGCTCCGTCTATTATTCTTTTTACCACACATAGTGAATGTATACTGTAGTTTTATCTACATCAACACCACCGTATCCACCCCCACTGCCGATCGAGGAATGTCACCTGTTACACAGTGCCGCTCGGCCTCACGCCGTATCCGCCCCCTCGCAGATGGAGATGTAAATCACGAGTTCTCCACTCCATCCCCAGACGATAATGATGACAGCCTGGGGTTCCGATCTCGAAAATAGCTGTGGAATGGATTCGCTACCTCATCGTAGCATCGATATGATTAACGCGTAATCATGTGTTCCAGGCAGACCTATTTCCAAAAGAGGTAATTATGTAGGTCTCTCTGCTCCGCGTATATACTAAGAAAAAACACTTGGATCCCACTGCCATCACCCCGCAATAATAATATGCAATAATCTGCATCGCGAAAACTTAGATGCTAGCCTTTTCCACGCGTCTTTCATCCTTGGCAATGCAATGTGTATGCCTTTTGGAAAGCCCACCGAAAAGACTATGGTGGCTATGGGGCAGGTCGGGCGCAGCAAACGCTTTGGGCATGAAGGTGAGTTGACGTATAGCTGCGTGGCTTACGAGGTTGATGCGGTGTGATAAATATGCGGGGTCGAATATATTAGCTATCGTTTATCGTGAAGAAAGTTCAGTTGTTCAGGTTGATAGCAAGATCTAGATCTAGAAGACTACCTAATAGTAGAATCTATAGTATCCAGATATATCAAGGACATGGAGGAGTGAAGAACTTGTCTGTTGTAGCACTGGAATACATCGTGTAGGTCACGTGACCTCTCAGCAAGGGGCAAGATGATTGACTGCGAAATCAACTTGTGGATTTTACATTGGTCCTCTTATTTTCGACCATATCTTCATCTTTTTATAGTGAGCTCCAATCTTATTCGTATTGGGGATATCGTGTGTTATATGCACAACTTGGATCAGCACGTGTGATGGGTTGCATGCATGGGTGCCTGAGGCATCTCTGTCAGGACCGGGTCTTTTCAGCCTTGCAAGGTTTCCCTATACATGTAGCCATCCTTTGACCATATTTCCTCGCCAGAGTTATCATATTGATTCAATTCCACATACTCATTTTCAATTATCACCTGAGCGAGACCCTTGAAGACCACTAAACATCCAACAGTGCCCATTATTCATGCGATGGGACCTCGGGAACACACGTCGATGACGCCATCACCTACATCTTAGATCTCTTCAAGGTATGTCTTGACTGACTTGGTGCACCTTGCTCGGGTAGTATCACATTGATTTGATCCGAGTTAAGATATTCCTGCAGGTACGAAGTACAGACAGCAGGATTAACATGGCGCATCGTTTAATAGCACTAAATTCATTCACTAAAAGGAACATAATCAATTTCAAAGTCTTGCCCCACCGTGAGCCTACCGATTCAATAAACATAGCAGTCACATGCACTGATATCTCTTCAAATGGACACACGTCCGACGCTACGGGTGCATCATGTGCTGGATAACGGACTCCGTCGGAGCAAAATGATGGACAATCAACTCGTCATGCCGATTGTTCCTGACGACGTTGCAATCACTTGCAGATCACGCTTGCTGGCAACCAATGCCTGCTTCATAGTGGGTCGCCCCCAACTAGTCACGACCTCTATTGGCAAAGCTTGGTAGTGCGTTAATATCTTAATATCCGCTTGGAGCGCAGATCGCTCGGACTAGCACGCCTCGCCGAAAGACAATTGAAAGACAATGGGATTATAAAAGCAGGTGTTCCTGCTCCTCTACTCCAAGTTTGGTTCTTCAAGCTCGCGGAGGATTATCCCACAATGTTGGTTTTGGCACCCCTTATCTCCTTGGTGGCTGCGGTCGCGGCATTGCAAAACCCGCACCGCAAGGCTCAGTCTTTCAGACAGCCTGCGAATGATCTGCGGAAAAGGGAGGTCTCCGCTTCCCCGGCTGAGCATAAGTATCTGAACGAGAAGACGCAAAGTAAGTGTGCAACTTTGTGTGATTCGTAGAATCTAGGACAGTCAACTTACAATTCCACTTCTTCTAGAATTCCAAGTGAATGGTACTCACTTCCCTCAAGTCCCTTTTGACATCGGCGAAAGCTATGCCGGACTTTTAGAGAATACGCCACATGGAAAATCGAGCTTGTTCTTCTGGTTCTTCCCATCTACCAACCCAGCTGCGGAAAAGGAGGTATGTTGATTCCAATCTGTCGCAGAATTCCATCTAATTTCCTCCAAGATTACCATCTGGCTGAATGGAGGCCCCGGATGCAGCTCGTTGGACGGTCTGTTGCAAGAGAATGGTCCTTTCCTGTGGCAATCTGGAGTCTACGAGCCTGTGCGCAACCCGTACTCATGGACCAAATTGACAAATCTGGTCTACATCGACCAGCCTGCTACCACTGGCTTTTCCCCCGGACCAGCCGATGTTACAAATGAACTCGAAGTCTCAGATCAATTCAACGACTTCTGGGAGCGCTTCATTGAAACATTTAGTATGGAGGGCTACAAGATTTATCTCACCGGAGAGAGTTATGCTGGTCAATACATTCCGTATCTGGCGGATGGGATGTTGAAGCGCAAGGACACCAAGAATTTCAACCTCAAGGGTATCCAGATCAACGACCCATCCATTAACGATGATTCCGTTATGATCTATGGTGAGTTGCTACTCTATCAGATAAAAGGATTACCGTACTAACCATGACCGATAGCCCCCGCCGTTGCAGCACTAAACCACTACTCCTCCGTCTTCGCCCTAAACGAAACCTTCACGAAAGAAATCAACCACCGCGCCGACAAATGCGGCTACACCAAATTCCTAAACGAAGCTCTAACATACCCCCCACCAAAGCATTTCCCAACCGCACCAGACCCATCCGAGCCTGGCTGCGACGTCTGGGACGAAATCGTAAAAGCAGCAACCTACATCAACCCCTGCTTCAACATGTACCACCTAACAGACTTCTGCCCCTTCCTCTGGGACGAAATGGGTTTCCCCTCGCTAGCCGGCGGACCAAACAACTACTTCAACAGCTCCGCCGTGCAAAAAGCCCTCAACGTCCCCCCAACAAACTACGAAGTCTGCGGCGGGGATCTCTTCCCCAACGGCGATCTTTCACCCCCCAGTGCCCTCGGCCCACTCCCCAGCGTCATCGAGGCAACGAATAACGTCCTCATCGGCCATGGCTGGCTTGATTACTTGCTCTTCGCAAATGGAACCCTCGCGACGATCCAGAACATGACTTGGAATGGTGCGCAGGGGTTCCAGAAGCAGCCTGTCGCTCCCCTGTTCGTGCCGTATACCACTACTCTCGATCGTCTGGCTAATGGTCACACTCATATACCATGGAATGCGGATTCCGGGGCTGGTATCCTCGGAACAGCGCATACGGAGCGTGGTCTTACGTTCAGCTCGGTTTATAATTCTGGTCATGAGATCCCGCAGTACGCTCCTGGTGCGGGGTATAGGCAATTGGAGTTCTTGCTTGGGAGGATTGAGAATCTTCAGGAGAAGGGGCCTTTTACGGGGTTGTAAATATCAGCCTGGGATTGTGATCTTGTAATTCCCTATGTAAACCAAGTATCCTTTTGGATGGGTGTTGAATAGTAAACTGTGGTAGATTTTATTCAATAAAAAGAGGACACAAATGTACATAACATCTCATATAGCATTAGAGTGAACACCCTGTGTAAAGGCAACCCGATTTCGGGATTTCAAGGCCACACCACTTAGCAGAGAAGACTCAAAAAGTCACAATCCGAGACAAGAAACACGGTCTTTGTATAATTCTCCCCGGAACACCAACGGACATTTCCAGACCTTTCCAAATCCTCCACTCCAACATAACCGGCGGTGCACTCTTGGCTGTATTTCGTAGTTTCTGGGGCAGGCTGTCCACAGATACGGGGAATACGTGAGTCTTGTAGAACAGAATGCCATAGAAGTGGAGTTGGTGAGCAGGCTCTTTAACCATCCACATCAGGTTTTTGAGCAGGCTCTATTGTCATCTGACTCCCGGTGAGCAGGCTCCGTTATCATCCGGGTCAGCGAATGACTGGGATATCCGGCTGGGAGGGATGCACTAGTCTTCTCCATTTCTCCTCCTTCCAATTCTCCCCCCCTGCCCCTTTGTGGTCAGAAAAGCGGCCTTCGATAAATGGAGGGAGACTAGAATATGTTAGCGTGTGATTCTTATAATTCTGTCATAGGAACGGAAGATATAATCTTACTTTGTAGCTTCCGTTTTGGGAATTCGGATGAGACGTGGGTATCAGACTGCAATTCAAGGTTGGAGACATATCTTAGATACGAGACGATCATCTGACCATCGGTAGCTTCATGGGATCGAATCCGTCCAGTCGATATGGTGTGTGTAATCCACAATTCCGGGATGAGGATTCTTGGATGCTAAGGTCATCCTTTCCGGTGCCCCAACACTCCATTCGGTAACCGCGTATTTCCACAAACGTGATCTGTCGGTTGGGATTTCCAGGTACATCAGAAGAAACAAGGTTCTCGTTTATGGGTTTGGACATGCGAAGAACGATGCGGAGTTATGTGAAGGTCATCCTTTCCCGTGCCCCAACACTCGATTCGGCAACCGCGTAGTTCCACAAATTTGATCAGTTGGGGAAAGTGCCGTCCAAGTTCGCTATGATAAATGAGAGATGATTGGGATTGTGTTCACCAGTCTCAATCTAGCAATATTTTGGTCGGTGTCCCCGTCAAGCTTCGAAAGCTTGACGGTCCGACTCTCTAGGTCAGCCTCCACCCAGAAGTGTTGGGTGATTTTGCTTTGTGTAGGGAGACTCGAACGGCTGTTTTACAGCCACGTATCCCTGAATAATGGAAAATGCGAATGACCGGGCAACAGCAGCATGGTTCGGAGTGTCGCGATGATCAAATCACCGAGACCCAACCGACACCAGGGATATTTCGGTGTCGTCGATCCAAGCGATATAGATTCCGTGCGACATGTTTAGGGCCACGTGTATGTCGAAATCAGTCACAACAATGAGACCAGAGGAGATCAGGAGTCCCAACGGGTGGAATATCCGAGGTCTTTCAGGTCTTGGCGTTGTGGGACGCCGTGTTCACGATCCTGAAAACAGGTCACGAAACGGGCGATTCTGGGTTCAGCTGCGCCGTTGTTATCCTTGATATCATCGAACACGTCATTTATCCAACAGAAGTAGGTCGTTCCCTGCCGTTTATCACCAGTGAATGTCCCGAAAATCTTCCTAAAATTCCAAAGAGATTCGAAAGATCAGAAGAAATATGTGGGAAAAGCGAGCATATTGTTTCGAGAATGGTAGCAAGGGGCTCTTGCATTAGAGTCGACTATTTTGGGGCTGTAGGATGAATTCATCAACGAAACTCGCTCTTGCCGCGTCATCGAGATCGAGCCATCACAGATAATTTTCTGGATGTGCTAATGATCAACTCTCGTAAGGTGTCTTCTGGGTGTCTTCCGGGTGTCCTTCGCAGGCTTCGCAGGCTCTTTGGTTGGAAATCTCTTGTTGGGCCCCAAGGATATGCTCTAGATTCTATTGGTAGAAGCTAGCGCTTCGATGGTCCCAATATGAGCTGTGACGCTGTACGCTATTAGCGTGATCCAAATGTTTTGGGGGGAAGGATATGCTCACTGCTGCCCTCTGTGGGGTAGTGATGCCAATAGAAGTCCTAGATTCCCCAGCTGGATCACGCTTATAGACAAGCGACGTCCAGGGGACTGTGGTCTGGAGGTTTAGAGGCATATCTTCCTCTAGGTTGCCCTGGAATGTGTCGACGAAGACATTAGAGAATATCTCATGAGCCAGACGAGAGCAGCAAGAAGAAAGAAAAGGTTAAGGCATGGCGTAGGGGCTGTGGACGGAGTCACGGTGGGTTTACGAAGGAGAAGAGTCCCCACGCGTGGATGTCAACACAATGAGCAGCTGGCAGAATCGCACCTTCCCTGGTCTTCCTTGACCTTCCTTCGCACCTTCCCTACGTTACCCAATTTTATACTCGTCAACATCAAAATGATTGATAGTCTACCTCGACTAACCCCCTGAGGTATCTCTATGAATTCAATTACAATGAAATGTATAGAAAGGTCAAGTATCATAACACATTCCCCAATTAATCCATTAATTATCTCATATATTCCAATTCTGCTCTGTCTAACAGAGACATTCCGTCTCTCAGACCAAAATTAATCCATAATCGTATATTTCGAAACAGTCCCTCAAACCAGAGGCTAGTTATTTCTTCATTCGACGACTGACATCTTAGTTCCTCTTGGCAGCAGCAGAAGTAGCCAAGCCGGTGCTGCTAGCCACGCCGGAAGAGGATGGAGTAGCAGCCAAGGGGCCAATCTTCCAGATGCCACAAGGGCTAGTGGGGGCAGTGAGACATCCACCGAGGTACTCGCCGAGGCTACCAGTCTGGTTGCGGGTGGACAGGATCTGGGCAGGGCCGTAGGCAGCCACAAGCGAAGAAGAGTTGGCGGCAAAGTAGGTGGAGTTCACGCGGCTACCGATCAAGGCAGCGTGGGCGCTGTGCTCGGCAGCCAGACGGGCCAAGAGGAAAGAGACCTGGGGGGACTCGGAGTAGCCGGCGAGACCGATGAAGGCACCGGTGACGGTATCCTCGAAGCGGTAGGCCCATTGTGCCCAGGACTGGGTGCTGCTGACCTCGGGGTAGGTGTAGTCGCAGGTGGGCTTGGAGAAGCCGGAGGCCTTGGCGCCGACCTTCTCAATGGCGGCGCTGGAGAGAGTGTTGTCCTTCTGGAGGCCGAAGAGGGTCCTCTGGTACGCTTGGAGGGTGGCGTTGTTGGAGTTTCCGAAGGTGCTGTTCACGGTGGAGTTGTAGAAGCCGCCGATGAAGTCGGAGACTCCCAGGGCGAATTGGAGGACCTTGGTATCAGAGGATGAGGGTGAGCAGGTTGAGGCTGAGCTTGCTGCGGAGGTGGTGGTGGCAGCGGAGGTGGCTGTGACTCCGGCCAGGAGGAGGCTGACGATGTTGAAACGCATAGCTCTTGGATTTATCTTGGAAGAGGTATCGTCTAGGAGAGTTGAGGGAGATTTTCTTAAGATACAGAAGAAATGCTACGGCTACAGGTAGTTAAATACCTTTTAAACCCATAGACCCATCTCGAGTCATCATCACCCCAGCGACGCATGCGGTAGGCTTCGAATACGTTATACTAGGTAGACTTTGTAAATAACCGGTAGTGTCCTCTACATTGGCGTCATGGACCACAATATAAACCTTTGAGCGTGGGGTGTCGTTGAATCGATATTGGCATGTTCTAGTGGAATGACGTCGACCACTTAGCACTCCAAGTCCGAGGTGACTATAAACTTGATATAAAACTCTGTCGAGGTTAAAGCCTCGAAGATTCAACGATCTTATTAAGTGGGTTCCGGATCCTCGGGAGACCCGGTATACCCCAACGACTTGGGATCATGGCGTCTTGGATGTGAAGACTTTATTAAACGTTGCATAGTAATTAGATTGTTACAATATTACTTTTCACGGGCTTCTGAGTTTAGAAAATACTACTACTCATTGTCTATGAATCTTTGAAGGGAAATGTAAAAGTGGTGATAGTAGTAGAATAATATATCTCCACGCACTCGGATGCTGGCGGATCAAATATCAAAATTTAACTTTTAAAGCAAATGATGGGATTTATTATGAGTCTCTCTATTATTAAACCACAGGTTAAGTAATTTGCAAGTAATCCTGGATATAGATGGAGTCTACGCGAAGGGAAAAGAAATAATTAGTTGACCGTGAAGTATATCAATTTGTAAAAGTAGCCTATGTAGCGATTCCAACCCTCCATTATCCCACCAAAAAAGCACACGTTAATCATCAGCATAAATGTGCAACGAGACTCGCCTATATCCATTTCATATAATGCGCGACTATACATACTCCGCTCAACAAGCAACTAAGCCCCGTACACAAGATGATAAGCCCATATCCACCACCATATCCCGCTACCGCAGATCCCGTCAATGGACCAAGTATAGCCTCACTTAACGGACCGCTAACGACGTTTCCAACTCCACGGCCAAAGGCAATAACCCCGAAGATGATAGTTGCATCAGCAGACGGATCGACTCGTCGGACGTCGTGAGTCATTCCCGCCCACGTCGCGGAGTAACACCCAGCGAATAATCCGTACGCGATAGAAAAGACAAGCAATGTGGGCAAGCTTGTCGAGAATCCCCAGAGGAAAAACACAGACAATGTACTACCGACGGTTGAGATTGTAATGCAGGTGATGACATGGTATCGATCTGTCAGATGGCCCATGGTAACGCTGCCGAAAACCGACGCCAGATTCAACAGCGTAACGGTCAACGAGGAGAGGAAATCCGTAGCGCCAATGCTGCGGGCGTAGCTCGGTAAATAAATGCCGGGTAAGAAGAACCCCAGCGCCTCTATTATGTTGCCGAGTTGATAGAAGCAAAATATCCTGGTTGCAAGGAAGCGGAAGTTCAGTCGCTGATAGTCGACTGCTCTTCTAACCGGGAGGCGTGGTCGGTGGAAGTATATGAATGGTGCGGCGAGAAGGAATACTATCACGGAAATGACCCGGAGAGTAGTTTCGAATCCGTACTGACCCAATAGCTTCTCGAGGCCAATTGGGAATATTATCCCGGATACCCCTGATCCGGCCCAGGTTATGCCGAAGGCGAGTCCTCGTCGGTTGACGAACCACTCGTCCATGTACAGGATGGATGGGCTGTACGCTATACATCCACCGATTCCAAAGCCGACTCCTTGGGAAAGCACGAGGTGAGTAACATTGGTGGAAAATGAGCCCAAGGCCAGGGAAAGACACATTATGGTCAGTCCTACTGATGAGAACCAGCGGCCCCATCGAGGAAGGAGGATCATAGCAATAATGATCAGTGGACAGCTCAAATAGGATATTCCCTGTGGATGGTGTTAGAAAGAAATAGACCGTTGGAAGCAAATTTGGTCTTCTCACTGTGGCACATGTTCCGATAACCGCTACCATGCTAGAGTCCTGGAAGGCTTCATGGTCACGGTAGTATTTCTGGAAGACTCCGAATGAAAAAGCAAATCCTGGTCATAGTTAGTAGACTGTCATCTCGTAGCCTGTAGTCACACGAGCAGACTCACCCCATATCAAAGCCTCGATCATAACACAAGCTGCCAGAAACATCCATGCCTGGAATCCGCCGTCGACGGGTGCTAATTTCGGTCCATCATCGGCGGACGATTCATCGAACTTTTCCGGGCACAAGCGTATCTGAGCTTCACTATGAGGTAGTGAGCCACTGTGAGAAGGGCGTCTTCTGTCCATATTGGTGATGTTGAATTCAGATGGTCAGGCTAGAGAGGGACGTTAAAGACAAAACCAAGTCCTAACGGTGAATGTGCCCATTTTAACTGCATCTATATTAAGCAATAAGGTCACATTATTTCATCAAGGAGGTCTAGCGTTCGAAGGGATGGGAAGAACTCTTGGTGGAGATCAGGCGGGTGTTGGAAGGAATTTTCCTACGTAGACATTAAGGCTGGCATGCAACCTCAACGGCCGAGCGGCATATTATACATTTGTGTATCTACCTCGAACATGGGAGGTAGCTGAAGAGCAATCAGATCGCCGATTTTGCAATCAGGCCGGGAATCTGATGTCTCTGATCTAATGTATATGTAAGTTCATCAGAGCACTGTGACCAATGTGTTGTGCTGGGGTATGATATTGAGCCCCTGCGTTGAAACTTCAAAGAAAACAACGTTTTTTTAAAATGCCGAAACTGACGTGCTTTACGTGGGGAATAGAGAGCTTCCCCCGGCCTGCGACGGAGAGTTGTAGCATAAATAACGGCTAGGGACGGACGCGTGAAGGGATTGGAATGTACAGTATGATCATCGACAAATGAAGATAAAAACGTCGGAGACTTGTGCCAATGTATGTCCTATGATATAACCCATAAAGCTCCGAACTGCAGATCACTAAACAGCCCCTTGTTCGGTACAACTCCGCGTAGTGCCACGTTAGACTGAGCATGAGCCAGGAGGCTTTGTGATTGTAATCAAGGGGCTATACAAGCGCCAATCATCTCGTCTTGGATGTGACATAGCACGCAAGATGTATAGATAACAGCATGCCAAGATACGATGTCTATGAGCCCTTCCTATGGCCCGTGGCAAATCTTGTATTGCTCAAGTTCGCCGTCGTCATACTCAAGGTGATCTTGAGACCAGATTTGGCCGGTGCAGGATTCTAACGACATGTGGTATTTAACATGGTGATAGGAAGCCTGGAAAAGAGAGAGAGCAATGCAACTGTATTCGGAAGTGCTAACTGCTGACTGTTGAGGGAGGGGAAAAGAAGAAGAGGGAGAGGAGACTATCTGTAGCTGGCAGTCCTGTCACATAGACACCGATCCCAACACATGGGGCTATACATGTTTCCTGAGTTCACTTCCCATGAGACCCGTAAAATAGAATAGCCCTAAGCTAATTTGAAAATGAAAATAATGCGTCAAATCAGCTTAAGGGCTTTTGGCTCCTAGCCTCCTTGCACATGGTTACAACCTATCATTCCAAGCTTGAAAGGTGATTGAATGCCCCGAAAAGCCCAAACCAAATTGTGGAAACACGCTGCGGGTTCCGTCTAGAAATCACAAGAAGTCAAGCCGGGAGATGACTAGGGGAACGTTGAATCGAAGTAGACAGTAAGTAAGATACTATTGGGACAGTGGTCTAACCCAATTAAGTAAGGGCTGTTTTGGCACCCATTTTTCAGCCTAAGTGTTATTTATTATGGTATCGCCATAGTAAGATACACAGCCCCTGAACCACCCCAGCCACATAGTACTACTTTATGCACCATAATGATGCCACCATTATATCACGTGATTATAATTGCTTTATATCACGTAATCATGCTTGCCCTTCAGATAATGAAGCCACCATTATATCACGTGATATAAAGCAAGCACGATCACGTGGTATAATGGTGGCATCAGTATAGACAAACGTTATTTATCGGTGGCATCATTATGCATGATCACGTGATATAATGGTGGCATTATTATGGTGCATAAAGTAGTACTATGTGGCTGGGGTGGTTCAGGGGCTGTGTATTTTACTATGGCGATACCATAATAAATAACACTTAGGCTGAAAAATGGGTGCCAAAACAGCCCTTACTTAATTGGGTTAGACCACTGTCCCAATAGTATCTTACTTCCAACCCTCAGGTCAATCTCCATTCGGCAGGTAGATTCGGGAAAACACAACATTCTCTACGATCGTACGAGTGGGAAGGTGACGCTTGTCGACTTCGAGGCCATTCTCGAACTAGGTGGAGAGCAAGTGACGTCCCTCAACCCTGAACTAGTTTCGATCTTTGGCATCAAATGATCGGTTACTTCCATTGCTTTTTTATTGAAAGAAATTTATTTTTACAAATCACAAATTTAACCCCCTCAGTTGCTGTTTTAGTGAGATTATATTTTCGTTCTAGTTCTTAAACACAAATAAATAACCCCAATTCCACTATAGACACATTTTAAAGAAATCTATGAACCCGAACCGAATACTCAAACCTACATACCATCCAACATATCCTGCAACTGCCAAGCAACAGACGCCGCACTGTGCGGGTCATGGATCAGAGTCTTACTCAGGTCCATCAAAGTCTTCTCAATGAAATCGCAGACTCGAGGGAGAGTAGTCTGGAAATAACCAGGACGTCTCCCAGTGATCAATGGATCATTCGGGAAATACACCGAGATATCCGAGCCTAGCATCTTAATCTTGGGCAAGGATCGAGAAGTCGTGGCAAGTCTCTGGCTGACGATATGTTGGTGTCCCGGGTGATTGACTAGAATGTCAATCTGGTAGACGAGTTCTTCTCGGAATCCATTGATCTCCTGTGTGAAGATTGGCTCGAGATTTTCGAGCCAGTTGGGTGAAGAGCTGTCCCACCAAGCCATTGTTTTCGGAGAGTAATGGAATAATGTATCTTTGAGATGACGTGGGAGAGGTAGATTTGTATATGATAGATATAATATATAGTCTTTTGAGGACGATCGGATGTTAATGATGGTTTGCAACTTCGAGAAGGACTGGCGAGGGGCTATTTATGCATATTGGCTTCAATATATTGAAGGAAGTGTTGGATACTATGGTCATTGACAGTGAAAGGAATAGCAGTTACAAAGCTCACCGTTCTTATTTCTTTGTTGTCTTCCCGGCTCTTCTGTTGAGTGACAACAACCCGACGGCACTGTGTCTTACGATCAAAGACATATGAATCCCAACAAAGAGAGTTCACTTTCCACATTCTTAGTGCCAAGGTTTCATCTTGAGATAACTTGTTTCCGAGCAAGAGATATGTACAGGTCAAAGGATAGGGGGTATCCTACTAACCGACAGTAAACTGTCTGTCCCCACGAATATCCCGACTAGACGCTCCAACATAGACAGTGAAGGTACCACTAGGCAAAACCCACTTCTGCGTCTGAACATCCCAATAGCTCAAGTCACGCCGGGTGAGCTCAAAAGAAGCCGTCCCCGACTCTCCCGGCTGGAGATTCAACTTCTGGAACCCTCGCAGCTGCTTGGGTGGAGTACTTGGAGCAGACTCCGGAAGACCAAGATAGAGCTGAGCAACCTCAGCACCAGCTGCGTCGCCAGTGTTCTGGACAGTGACTGAGACAGTTCCGACCGACTCGAAAAGATCCTCCGCTCCGCCAGGGACAATGCGTCCATTTGATGCTCCAGCTGTGGCAGAGATGCCAACGACAAGTCCAATGTAGTCGAAGGTCGTATACGACAAGCCATAACCAAACTCGTAGCGCGGGGCGATACCGTTCTTGTCGAAGTGGCGGTAATCAACGAACAAGTCTTCCACGAAATTGTCGTCTAGCGCACTATTCCAGCCAGCCCCGTAGTCTGAAAACTGCTTGGCGATCGTGTAAGGCAGCTTTCCGCTTGGAGAGGTGCTGCCATACAGCACATCAACCAGGGAATTTCCGCTTTCCTGCCCTGGTAACCCGGCCCATACAATTGCCTTCACGGAGGGCTGCGCTAGGATGGTCTCCAGGATAACCGGCCCCACGCTGTGGACGACTACGACGACATTCTTGTTCACTGCCGCGACGGACTTGACTAGCTCGTTTCCGTTGTGCCAGGGGTCGAGATTGTTCCTGTCGCCAACGTTGCCCTCCACTGTAATATAACTGGGCGGGGTGTTAGTGGTTCCAAATATATTATAGATGTGGTGATGCAAGTTTGACTGACCCTTCGCCGCTGTCTGCATTAATGAAGACCACGGCAGTCTCGGCAGCTGCGGCAGCAGAAGCCGCAGCTGTAGTGCTGTCGGTCGTACTCTCGATAATTTTCGTACCATCCTTTTTGGCCTGGACTTGGATTGCATCAAGGGGTCCAATGAGGTACTAGAGCGGGATTGTAAGTTCATCAGGTTTGCCGTTGATCTGCTGGAATTAGCTTGCTTACAGGGAACTCGGATGTGCCGCTTCCCCACCCCATAGCTAGCGTGCCGTTGTTGCAGCCGCGATCTGCACATGCATTGGGACCAGCGGGGTCGACGATAGCATCCTGCCCGATGATGGCCAGGCTCTTGGGTTGCCGGAGAGGCAAAACATGTTCCTGGTTCTTCAATAGGACAATTGAATCACGGGCAACGGTGCGGACTACAGTCGCATGGTCTCCCGTGACGTCAACAGTAGCTTTGCCGCCATTCCAAGAGCTGAACGTCACCTCAGGATACCCTTGATCCTGATCAAGAAGATACCAGGCTGCTAGGATACGTGTTGCCATATCATCTAGACGCGCTTGGGGCACAGAGCCATTAGCAACAGCCTGCACGAGATTCGGTCCCCAGAATATGCTGCCGGGCGGCTTGTTGAAGTCACTGCCGGGCATCGTCATGTCGAGTCCAGCCAAAGCACTGTTGACACCAGTGTGCTGCGCATTCCAGTCGGTCATAATGTAGCCGGGAAAACCTAGCTCATTCTTCATCAGATCGTTCAAGGCGTCACTCTCACAGGCCCAGGTCTCGTTCAATTTGTTATAGGAGCACATGACAGATGCGACATTGGCCCTGACTGCATTCATGAACGGCCATACATATAGCTCATGCGTCGCGCGGTCGCCGATGTTAGAGCTCATGGTTTCGCGGTTGTGCTCTTGCTCGTTCCCCAGCCAGTGCTTCAACATGGTCAGAACGGACGGGAGGGTCAGCGGAGTAGAGGCCAGCGTACCTTGGCGCAGGCCTGGACGCCTGAATCCTGCATCCCCTGGATTGTCTCTTCCATAGCAACGCCACTTAGATATGGATCGACCGAGAACCCTTCCCAATTTCTACCGCCATCGGGATTCTTGCCTAGAGGTCCAGCGACTGGTCCTAGTTGGACGTGGATGCCCAGACCTTTGGCTTCCTCGCCCATTGCAGCACCGCGCGCGTACAAGAGACTGCGATCCCAAGTCGCTCCAGCGTTGATCCCCGCAGGGAACGCTGTGACAGGATTGGCAAAGCGAATTCCCAAGGGCGAATCCTGTAGACATAAGGACGGATAGTCAATTGAGCTGGCGGCATGGGTGTTTCCCACACAGGGCCCTCCCTCCCAACCGACACCAGTGGCGATGCCGACTTTTTCGGTCTGATTTAGCTTAAGAAGGGCTGCCTGAGCCTTTGAGTATGCCGCATCCCAGCCGGCAGCTCCTAAGCCATAGGCATCAGCGGCGACACTGAATGCCAGGGTAGAGAGGAGAAGGTTCTGCATAATGCCCTTTGTCGCTTGACAGACTTTCCCCTCGTCTGGCGGCGCAGGCGTACTCTTTATAAAACCCCGCATAGAATATTTGGGCTTAAATTCCCAGTGCCTGAAATTTCCCCCTGGTCCCGGAGGCTGGCCAAGGTACACCCCATGACCAGAATGAAGGGGTTTTCGCATGGCCAAGACATCACGGGTATTGTATCGTCACAGTGAAACATGCATGTGAACAAAGATGGTACACCAAAGGCCTCGGACTATCGGTGAACCTCCCTTTGATTGGCGAGGGAGACATGGAATGTGAAAAGAAAACAAGCTGGCTATTCTGGAGTATAGCCTAAACTTGTTCATTTAACGACAGCCAGACTTGGCAGGTAATTTGAGAGCTTTCTTCCGCAGATCTGAGCTGTCTGGGGAAATGTCCGTTAACACCAATCCGTCGCTGCGGGTTGCGAGATGCGGGGACGGGGCCCCCGTGTACTCTGTATGAAATACGGGCGGGACGGGCGGGATAGTAGCTCCTTGGACCATTCAACATCTTTTGGTCAAATCACCGGAGCTTGGAAATCGAGCCAAGAGAACAAATCAGGGTTTGTATTAAGGTCGATAGGGATGAGAAGGATAAAACAAGGAGACGGAAAGAACCCTTCGATGCCTTGCTGCCTAAGGCGAAATATTGACACCTCAGGCATCAAATTCTGGTTTTCCGGCTTTCTTTCAATTCGGACCAGGTTAGCTTACGCAGTAACATGCATTTTATAAATATACGGTCATATGCCTGGTCTTATCCCCCTGCTTTATGATGACAGCATGTTGCGCTACTTATTGCGCTACCTATACGGATCAGTCTGATGCTGGTCCCATAGGCTACCTAAGTACATACTGGTGCGGCCTTTGGGTATGATCGCTAAAGCGCAATGCACCGTTCAAAACAGAGTGTGTGAAACAAAAACCGAAATTCAACATTCTGAAGGGATGAACCAGCAAGTTATAAGAGACTTCATCAACAGCCAGGGGTACATGTTTCATCAGGAAGTCCACGAGAAACCTCCCTCCGAGTTGTCACACCTGCTATAGGACACCATCACAAATGATGTTATCTCGGACTATCGGACCTTGGGAGGTCGTGGGAGGGTTTGAAAGTCCTCGCAAATATAACGTCATGGCCATGGCATTTGATCGTCAAACTTCTCCCTCGACTCCAAAATATATATCTTCAGTCCGAGACTTTGGAATACCAGCATCCGTACTGAGATTTAAAGATGCAGCCGCCCCAAACATTGTTCAGTGGACTGTTTCGCGCAGGCCAGAGGACTGACGATGATGAGGAATCTCGCCATCTGTTGGCAGCTGGAACGAAGATGGAATTTTGGAGAGATGGTCGGCGACTGCCTGTCACTTCTCAGAACCACGAAATCGAGAAGCAACAATCAAGCAAAGAAAAGCAGAGAGTCCGAACTATTTTCTATACAAAACTGTGGCCTATTCGATCTATCCTTCCCCGATTCATGAGAAAAGGCCCTACAATACTATCTCTACAAGATAGTGCTCTACACAATATCTATAAACACCTTCCCCCGGTCGATAAAGCATGCCTAGCGCTAAGCTGCAAAAGATTTCTCGGCCTATTCGGAACGATTTTGAAAGAAAAAGTATTTCAATTCCCACGACTTTTAAGCCTTCGGATCCCTATACTGTGCGTGAATAGTAGTAAGGTTCGACCCAACCAACTACTTCTCCGACTTGAGAATCACGACTGGGCATATTGCGGAAGGTGTTTGAAGCTCCACTCACGAAAGGAATTCCATGAAAAATTACTAGCGCAGCCAGCTTTACACAGATTTTGCGCAGACTGGGCGGGTATCATTGACCTATGTCCGTGTGCTACCTTGACATTTCGATACATTCAACATCTTGCAAAATCTCTCAAATCACCCATTACGCCAGGTCAAACTAAAATTGGCCCTTTCACATTTGGCCGTACCGGTGGGCCTCATTTAAGTCACTGTTGCTCATTGCCTAGCACATCTGATTACAAGGCTCGATTCGAGATACGTATATCCCTCGACTTCGCTGGCGATATAAACGTCTTTGCTCGATATACAATATCTTTCTCTTCGCCTAATGCTCATGTTAAAGCTGAGCCCATTTTCCACTGTCTGCACAGATCTCTTACTTGTCTTATGAATCAGAAGGATGCCACTCAAGTGTGTCCCGGATGTCGGACGATAAGTGTCAGAACTCGTGCTCCGGAATCCGAAGGCCAAAATGCATTTGTATTCGAAGTGACCCGGTTCTTGGGAAGCCCCAACTGGCCACCGGACTTGCGTTGGATTGATAACAGCCGCCTGACAGGGTCGGAGTTTTCACAAGAATCAGCTATACTGGTAAGTGCATAGTCGGATAGTGAACTGAGTGGCTTTAACACAATTATCTTAGGTATCAGTCAAAGGTATTGCAGAGGGCAATACACAGTGTGCCAAATTTGGGCTGAATATAAAAGATCACACATCCCACGCCCTACATTTACCCTTGGGATGGCACATGTAGTAGAGCTGGAGCAAATAAGAGGTTCATTTGAAAATACACGAGAAGGGAAAGGTGTAGGAAATCCACTCCATTGGTGTGATATGGAGGTAGCTATAGACTTTGCTAATGCATCATCCTTGAACTTTCCATCTGGCTCTACTTCCGACCTCTTAACAGGATACGACCTCGCATATCGGTTTTACCTTTATATACCTTTCATCTTCTGGCTTATTGTTTAGAATCACTGTTGTTGTTTAACACATTCGACCCGGCAAGTCGCACTTGTTGACTCATGCACACCCCGAATAATTTCCAGTCATATAGCTCCTTTTGGATATTGCATTTCCAAGACTTCATTCACCTCCACCTCCACCCTCGTTTCTCTAAGGGGTTTCGGAAGAACATATTCTAACTCTAGCCGCTAGGCCGATTTTATCTCGTGGTTTTCAGCCTTAAATAGACTATTAACACGTGCGGTGCTCAACATTTCGAGCTACGTGCCGCCGAGTACTCCTAGCTAACAGCAGTTGAGCCGAACTGAGTTGAAAAAACTTCCCCACAACGCGGACTCTCACGTTTCGCCGTCTATTTCGGTTTGTCTTAATAGAATCTTCTACTAATCCGTTAGTAATCACGGTACCTTGGCTAGCCTAAGCCTAAGCCTAAGCTAGTCGTTAAATAAGCGCTATTTCTATTTTAAGTCTAAGGCTAGTGAATACACTAATTAGTTATAGCTCGCACTTTTAGTAGAATTAGTAATATAGTTAGCTAGGATAGAACACCCTAGGCAATTCGCCGTGAGGTTAAAGGAGAATATAGTATCTATTTGTGCGATTTATATAGTTCGTAAGATATGAGCTTAGACAAAGAAGAGGAGAGCGATAGTAGTGGTAGCGATAACCACGATAACGAGGAGGATGATTATAATGATTGTAATAACGATAACGGTGCTAGTACGAATGATAATAATACGGATAATCATAAACAGCTCAAAGTTTAGTACAAAGCGCGCTATAGAGTCAACTTCTACGAATAATGCATCGACTAATAGCTAGAAACAGATCACGCTTCTATATGTCCAACATATAGGAGCAATTAGAAACACTAAATGGGCATAACATTTTTGCTTTGTGAAATGACGCTTTTGATATGAATTATCGTTTAATGAACTCCACACGAACCAATGAACTTCCTGTTTTTCAGATTAATCAGAGATAGAACTGCTGTGATATGTGATGCTGATCAGCGTAAATGCCTGAGCTGATTGAAACTCTGATAGAACCAAATTACATAGCCCCCCTTTGGATAGATGGCTGCATATAGGTTAGGGCAGTAAGCAGTAGCTAACCTGGGAGTGGGCCCTGGTCTGAGCCTGGTAAGGAGCTGTCATCTGCTGAGAAGCTCCCTTTTGACTAAAATTTATAGATCTTCATCTTTCAGTGGATATGACACCAAAAGAATGAAATTCCCGGTGGGTGCTGGTGCTTGCACCGAATCAGGTGCCCTCTCTCATTGTAAGGTTTCTTTCCCCTGCCCTCTCCCTTCTGTCTGTTTTGTCACCTCTCCCGTTTTCGGTATTTGGAATGATCGTTTCTGGTGGTGGCAGGGAAAACCGGATAAGCATCCGCAGTGGTGGTGGGAGTTGCATCATGTATAACTATCACGACCTGCGGAGGCGCATCGGATAGCAACACGGCAAAGGCGGGGGACAAAGAAGTCCGGTGCTTTGATGAGAACTTCGAACTTTCACAAGACATAGACCGAGGACTGTCAAATGTTTCAGTAAACTTCATATAGATTGTGAATAAATTAATCCTCCAGCTAGCTACCTGGAGAGAGTAAAGAGATACAAAATAATCCAGAATTATGTAGCGATCGATTAAATATACATATGCACATAATAATGAATGGCTTCACAGCGAGAGCACCGAGCACATTTCCATCCATAAGAATCACAAAGCTCCCAATTCACATATATAAGCACATCCGGATCAATTAAGAGCTGGCCTTAAGCTCGCTCAGAATCTCATCAGCAGCCTTCTCGGCAACCATGTAAGTAGACACAGCGGTGAAGGTACCGGGGATCTTGGGGTAAACGGAAGCATCAACAACACGCAGACCAGAAACACCGCGGACACGGAATTTGGAGTCCAAGACAGCCCGTGGGTCATCATCAGCACCAATGGGGCAAGTACAAGAGGCATGGTGGCCCCAAGCGCCATCCTTGATGTAATCCTTGACATCCTCCTTGGACTGGACATCAGCACCGGGGAGAACCTCAGTGATGTTGACGAGCTGGCGCTTGAACGCGTCACGGCCAAGCTCGATGGCTTCATAGAGAGCAGTGAGATCAGCGTCGTAGTCACCGACACCGGTATCGAAGTAGTTGAAGGTGATCTTAGGCATGTCAAGGGGATCAGCGGACTGAAGGGCGACGGTACCGGCGGAGTTGCGGGGGTGAGCCTTGAGAATAGCCCAGGTGAACCAGTTGTGTTCGTCAGTGGCGTTGATGCTGTAGTCGGGGAAGTAACCACGGAAGTTAACGGGACCACCGAATTCGAAGATATCGAAGTCATCGCCGGCTGTGGAACTTTTGTACAGCATAGTGGCAGCAAGACCGGGGGATGAGTAGATGCCGCGGTCGCCAAGGATAGGAGACTCCCAGTCATTAATGCAAGGGTCGTCCTGGTCGCGAATGCTGAAGGTGCACTTGTCCAAGCAGGAGAAGTCCTCCTCGATCTTGCCCTGGACAGAGATTTCATAGTGGTCCTGCAGGTTGGTACCGACACCGGGGAGATCCTTAATGACCTTGATACCGAACTTCTTGAGTTCCTCGGCGGGTCCGATACCACTAAGCTTGAGAATCTGGGGAGAGTTGTATACTCCACCGGCAACGATGACTTCACGAGAAGCGGTGGCGGAACCCGGGGTACCTGGAAGAGCGGATTTTGACATAGGGCTGGCTTTGTAGAGGTGCTCGCCGTCGAGGAACTCCACACCGGTGGCGCGGGGAGGGGTTTCGGTCTCGTCGAAGGTCACCTTAGTGACGTGAGTGTTCATACGGACATCAAGAGGGTACTTCTTTGAGCCGTCGTCGTTCTTAGCATCGCGCACAGCAATGATAAACTCGCGGGGACCATTGCGGTGGGCGTCATCGGTGGCAATAGGGATTTGGTAGTAGCCGGGCTTGGTGTCACGGGTCTTCTTATCAGCATTGGCATCGCCAAGTAGTAGAGTGCCAATGTTCATAATGCTGTTGGTCAAGTTACCAAGCGCAAAGGCACCGCCAGTGAGCATGCTCAACAGCTGGGTATCCTTCAACACAATGCTAAGGGGCGCAGTTTCAGTTGACAACCAGCCGTCGTAACCGTGGCCCTGGGCTGCAGGGAGGGAGTACCCATTGTTCTCCAGCTTAGTGAAGTATTTGCGCATATTGTCAGGTGTCCAAGAGTTATCGCCGGTGATAGTCTCAATGTACTCAAAGTCAGACTGGTGTGGGTAGACCGCAATCAAGGCGTTGTGAGCAGTGCAACCACCGAGGGTACCCGTACGAGGGTAGAGGGTTCCCTTCAAGGTCGAGCCCTCGGGAGGGTTCAGACCGGTGTATATCCCGCCATCAGGCGTATCGTAGCTAGCCTTCCAATCCCGAGCCTGACGCTCGTTATCTTCATAGTGGTGAACGAAGAAATTCCACGCAAGCTTCTCGTCTTCAGAGGCTCTGGCGGAGTAGGCAGGGATGGTGTAGTTGTAGTTTTCACCCTGGTCATCACCAGCCTCAAGGAGCAGTGTCTTGTGGCCGGCCAGAGCGAGGCGGGCAGCCAGAGGACCACCACCAGCACCGGAACCCACAACCACATATTCATAGCCGGTGATGTTGACGGCTTTGGCCAGGCCGGACGTGGCGACCAGCAGGCCAAAAATATAAGAAAGAATCATATTGACAAAGAATGACTATGAGTGAGCTGGCCTTCCAAAAGAGAAATCCTCCCAGCTTTTATGCACCGTTTTCCCCCTGAACAACGGGATTGTCCGCGTTGTTCTCCACTTTTGCAAAAGCCGTTGAAGACATGGCTGGCGTGCCGCGGCTGTCACTAACTAGTTCATGGAGATCTACTCGCAGACAGTTGAACCTAGTACTTTTCCAGGAAATATTTCCGAACGATCATCGGTAGTTTAATTCGTACTTCGTATGTGTACTGTATATGTCTCCGTACACTCCTGCTGATCCTTAAAATTGATCCACATTATTTCGGGGGATTCTCCTTTCTAGAACAACGCTTGAGTGTCAGTTCGCTTTGCCAAGACAATGCGGTGAGTTCCCCGTAAAGGAGATTTACTGTAATCCCTGTCATTCGGAGGCTCAATACTGTGAACCAAAAGGGTCAAGTCAATTGAAGATACTCGAGATGGAGAGAGAAGGATGAGAACTGGAGGGACAACCCTGGAGGTCGCAAAGCCCACTTCTGCAAACAATGCAAATCCATACCCTATCGATCAAACAATGCAAACAAAGAGATCGGAACAACTATATCATTCCTTCCGAACCTAATCGATCCTTTCAGCTTTCTATTCAGGAGAATTTGGAGATTGTTAGAATAAATTAATTCTGGTATGTGAGAATACATCTCGTATAGCATTCTGATTGTCCAAGGAAGTAGATGGTGCGATGCAACGAACACGACTATATAGGGACTTGCCTTTCTTAGCCGGCGTCGCTTCTCCTTTCGCCGCCTACACTGGTGCTTTGTGGGACCGCTAGCACTAGATCCAGAGCCAACAGGAAGGGGATTGGGACGAGGCGGGAGACTATTGCGGATGGTATTCATCTTTTTCTTTTGAGAAAGAATACGAAAAGGAGAAAAGAAGAGGTAAACAAGGAGAGCCTTCCTTTGGTTGTGTATTTGGTCGTGGGGGAGAGAAAGGAGGAGAATCTCGGAAGTTCACGAGGGGAGGAGCGGTGCCTTCCATCTACGTGATCTTGTCTCAACATAATCACCTGCCCGTAACTTTGGAAGGCCAACGCTCATCCATAAGGGCAATGATGTGTTAAGATCTCACTGATAGGTTCTCCTTTTGAAGTAACTTATAACTAAACTTCAATCGAGCATTCCGGTCCGAAGCTATTACTATGTCTGGAAGCGGTCAATATTCAGGCATGAATAAGGCAATAAGGCAAAAGCCAGGCACCCAGGCATCATTGACCCCTGCGCGCTATACACCTCACCTTGGTACTCTTGGGCAACAAGCGGTATTGGGCAGCAGGCGATCGGGTGATATTCACCACGTGACCGCTGAGCCTCCATCTGGGAATCTCCCAACATGGTGTTACTTTATCAGGCGGAAGATCCTGACGAAGGTATTATTGGGTTCATCTACAAAGCCCTACCATGGCCTTCACGCATGATGATTACACAGTCGCATGGATATGTGCTTTGCCATTAGAAATGGCAGCGGCAAAGCTTATGTTGGAGAGAGTCCATCCTGCATTATATCAGCCACAAACCGACCACAACGCCTATACACTTGGGAGTGTCAGTGGTCATCATGTTGTTATTGCCTGTCTTCCCACGGGTGTCTATGGAACTACATCTGCGGCGATTGTGCTTGGCCAAATGATGCAGACATTCCCTTCTCTCGAGTTTGGACTTATGGTAGGCATCGGGGGTGGTGTGCCCAGTAGAAAGACTGATATCCGCCTTGGAGATGTCGTTGTGAGTACGCCGACTTCTGCTTCTACCTTTGGGGGTGTCATCCAGTATGACTATGGAAAGACACTTCATGATGGATCTTTTCAGCAAACTGGGTCACTCAACAAGCCTCCTCGACATTTGCTCACAGCAATATCACAAATGCGGAGTGACGACTTTCTGAGTGATACTCTGATTGAGAAAACGATATCGGATATACTCGACAAACACGAGAAGGTTCGAGATCGGTTTTCGCGACCAGAGAACGACTGGCTGTTTAAGCCGAGCTACAACCATTTTAGAAGTGAAGATACCGACTGTTCAGCATGCGATCACACACAGTTACACGTTCGAAACCCGCGAGATTCTAAGAAGCCAGTCATCCATCACGGTCTAATTGCTTCTGGGAATCAAGTTATGAAAGACCCTAAGACAAGGGATGCTCTAGCACAGGGAAGAGATATTCTCTGTTTTGAAATGGAAGCCGCCGGTCTGATGGATCAGTTGCCATGTCTTGTTATCCGGGGAATATGCGACTATTGCGACTCGCATAAAAGCAAACAATGGCAGGGATACGCCGCTCTTACTGCAGCTGCTTACACAAAAAGGCTTCTTGGTGTGCTTCCTGAATACGATGATGTCAGTGGTTTTAGAAAGGGACCAGCCCACCACATAGCCCCTTCCCCAAATGACCTTGAGCGTATCAAGGGGATTCTGCAACCCTCTGTGCATCCCCTCGACACGTATCAAAATATCGCCAAGCGACGGGTTCCGGGCACTGGAGACTGGGTCCGAAATGAGTTGCTATTCCAGACTTGGGTTGAAACAGATGATACCCCGTTGCTGTGGGTGTCGGGTAGTCCAGGATGTGGCAAAAGCTTTATCGCGCAGAACGTCATCTCTTATGTTCAAGAGCTTTTTCCTCAACGCGCCAATCGGAGAAATCAGACCTCAGTTGGGTATTTCTTTTTCAAGCATATCGATCCCGAGACAAGGAACTTCCACCGTGCATTGAGGGATATCGCGTTCCAAATCTATCAGAACGACCCTTCCTACAGGGATTATATCCATGCCCACTGCCATTCGTCCGATGACATTAAATCCATTCAAGCTGCCTGGAGGGTTTTGTTCATGAATTATTATCTCAATCCTCTCGAAGAGGTTGGTGGTAATGTGATCATCGTCCTTGACGGTGTAGATGAAGCGTTTGAAGAGGACCGTCGAGAGTTTCTAAGTCTAGTCGTGGACATCGTACACCGTGAGTACCAGAGCATCAGATTATGCCAGTAAAGAGCAAAACTTAACATATCGACTTGATTAGATCCTATCAAGTCTCGGATCAAAGCTGTTCTCCTTGGGAGGCCAGAAATATACGACGACCTAGTGGAAGCTCTGGATCTGCCGATTTCAACCATCCATGTCAACGCCGACAAAAACATCGAGGATATCACAACCTATGTTCGAAAAGGCATCCGTAAGTCCCGGTCGATAAGTCGGGTTCCGAAACTACAACGCCTGTCAATTGAAAAAGATTTAATAGACAAGGCCCAGGGCATGTTCCTCTGGGCTGACCTGATGTTGACAGAGCTTAATAGGAGAACCAGGGCTAGCACTATGTTTGAAAGCCTTCACAAAGCACCCAAGGGACTCGATGCGATGCTGAAATACGTCCTGGAGACATTCAGCAGCAGACTGAACGAGGAAGAGGCAACCGAGCTCAATATTATTCTTGGGTGGGTGGCATGTTCAGATAGACCCTTGACCTTGGCAGAGGTAGATGAGATACTATCAGTGGAGTTGCAAACCAACGATGATAAACTGGGACTGGAGGACGCATTGCGTACGCAGTATGCTTCGCTTTTTGTACTCAACCGGGAGGACGGTTTGACGACAGCAGATTTAGTTAGTGGGGGAAGAAACAGCTTCGCTCAACCTCAAGAGGACGAGCCGGTTGAAAATAGTGATTCTTCTGGCGAGCAGGAACAGGAATTTAATTCCAACAAGTCTAGAACCAAAGTCGTCTTCTGCCACGCTTCAATTGGAGACTACCTTCGCAACCCAGGTTATGGAAAGGTAGCCGCAGGAGGTGACTCAACACCTGTTGGCGTTGACATTGTCCAATTGAGCGCGAGGGCTTTAAATATTTGTCTAGCACAAATAGCTGATGGGTGGCCGTCCTTCGTTCGTGACTACGCCATTGACGAGTGGGTCAGCCACCTAAACCATGTTTGCAAATATTTGGACAAACTCGATCAACAGCAGAAGCAAGAAACAATTGTCTTACTTTGTCGGATCCTGATGTGTCCGGATCTGGAAGAAATGTTTCTCTCTGGCGCTGCTCCATACCCTGTGATGCATTTCATCAATCCTCAGACCATCGACTTGATTGTCTGTCTTCTCGCTGATCAAGAGTGTATCAATACCATCGAAGACATTGAAATGCAGAAATGGATACGTGTCTGCATTCAAGAACCTGCCCAGATATTCGTGCCGTTAGGCCGTGAAGTGGCTAAGAGGTGGCTCATCGACTCCTGGAATCCAGGGTTCTGCATGGCCGCGGTCTGGACTATCGTTATTCTTCTCAATGGAGACAACCCACACGATTTGCTAGAACCCTCGCCTACATCTGTCGACACTGTCCTGGAAGTTGCTAGGTGGGCACAATTTGAGGAAAACGCGCGCTGGAATCACCATGTCGGGGCTTGTCTCAACTACTTCGGACATGACGACGCGGCCATCCAGTACCTAAACACTGCATTGGCACTGGAGCCAACATGGGGAGCCAAAAGAGATCTTGCTGAGGTCTATAAAAAGCAGGGTCGATTAGATGATTCCCTCCAGTTATTGAGAGAGAGTGAAGCGCAATACACACAGCTACTGGCGGGCCACGAAGCCAAAGATAAGACTCGAGACCTATCCAAGCTACGCAATAACCTGGGCTTACTTCATATTCAGTTGGGAGATTATTCAAACGCCACCCACTGGTTCATGGCAAGCATCGAGCTTTGGGATTATTCTAACATTTCGGACGCTGTGTACCTCGTTCTTTGTGTTCTGGTTGCAACCCGATACTCGCAATACGAAAGGATCATGCAGGTACTCAAGAAAGTCGACAGAGAAGTCTGGCCACTCGACAGTGATACTTTTTTATTTCATATTTTTAGACAGCACTTCCTGGACTATATGAGATGGGACGGCCAATTTCCCTTGATAGTTTCTGTCTCCGCCAAACGCTGTAACAACCTGCATTGGCTGGAGTCCAAGTACCAAGGTGCGATCGCAGAAGGAAATATGCAACTAGCGAGCGTCAACGACATATTCTTCATGGAGTCGCTAGCTCGCCTGTATGACAAATTCTTGGGCGAGGAGGAGAAAGCCATTGAAATTTGGAAGGTTATCATAGTCCAACATAGGGTACCTGACTCGCTCGAGTACGAAGCTTTTTGCAGAGCAAGGAATCGTGCTGTTGCTGCTTACGCCTACCGGCTCCTTACCAACTCTTTAAGAGAAACCGGGAGTTCACAAGCTCTTATCGTGCAGGAGCTCGAGAAAGTTTGTGACAACGAAATTAAGTCTTTGTCAACTAATAGCGCTCTCTTTGATGGCCAACCAGGAATTTATATGGGGGTATGGCATAAACTCAATGGGCGCGAGCAGGAGGCCAGAGAGTATTTTAGACCGTATGTGCCACGGGCTGTATCCTTTGTCGATGAAGATATTCCCATATATGATGTGATGGAAGCACAGCGCATCCTTGGGCACCTTCTTGCTATGATTGGCGATGATGAGGATGCCATTACGGTTCTCCAGCTCGTCCATAGCCCTTTTACCACCCGCGATGGCACTTCCGCTTCGGCAGAGAAACGGATGGCATCACCATGGCCGCTGGTCCTCGATTACGTTTGGTACTGTCATATCTGCGGTCGATCATGGGGAAACTTTGTCAATTGCAACATCTGCCGCCGGTGCAATGCGGATATTTGCGGAGAATGCCTCGACGATCTCAAAACGGGGGGGTGGGGAAAGCCATGCCTGTGACGCCAGCCATGAATGGCTGAATATCCCACCACCCCCGGGTGTCCCTGGTACATATCAGCTTAGTCGGGATGGCCAGGTGCTTTCGGTTGAGGAATACTTTGCCGCTATCGGGAGATCGTGGATGTAATTTGATTTTAAGTTTTGATCTATTTCGTTACATTCGTGATTGCCTGGGTTGGCCATCGCTTTTCAATTCGCATCCTTTTTACCGTTCACTCATGAGACCAAAGGCCCATAGACGCTGCCCACCGACACATTTTCTTTCTCTCTCTCTCTCTCTCTCTCTCTCTCCTCGTCTGTCGCCAGCTTATATAAATCCATGCTTTCCTTCCCTTTAACTTTCTCTAGAATCATTCTTCTTTACGGACGGTCAGTGCGGTCTCGTCCTTTCCACCCCCATCTATACTACCTCCCCTTCCCATCCCCTGCCACCAACCACCGATGGTCCCTAGTCACCTTTTGCTGTCATTCTCTCCCTCACCTAAAATATTACATACGACCACAGGGTGTGGAAAACAGGGCTTCCCGTCCGCTCAGCCGTACTTAAGCCCATTATTCTGCACAGTCAATACTCAATTTCGCCTTAGCACTCAAGCGGCACTCTAGGGTGAGTGTAGGTGATATGGGTGAGAAGTCCTGAGACTAGGGTGAGAGAGGTAAGAACGGGGTGACAATTCTCACCCTTAGGGTGATAAGGGCCAACTCACTCTAAGCCTATGCCTACCCTAAGAAAAATACATAATACATCCTCTAAGGCTCTTTTCTCACTCTGCCATAATTTTATTTGAACTTCTTTACTACTTACAATATATTCTCCGAATAGAATATCCCGAAATCACTTTAGGAGCGACTCGCACGTACTATATTACGTAGCTTTATACGTAAATACTAAGACGAATAGGAGAAAGAGGGTAATACTATCTACTACCTTAAGCTAGCGCCTACTACGCTAGAGAAATACGGTTATATAGTTAATAGCTAGGCCCTATAAGTTTAATTTATACTCTACCGATCCTAGTTCCTAATTATTAGTAGATAGAGGATATCTCGTAACGAATTAATAAACCTAGATTTTCCTAATCTACCTATTCCTACTCCCGAGCGTCTAAAACTTTTTATAGAGTTTTATATTAAATCTTATAAAAAGGTTCTGTCTTAACGATCGGCCTATAGCTACTTTACTAGTTTTACGTTAAAATAGGAGCGAGAAACGTCTCGATCCCTTTCTAAGGAAGTTAAGGACGATATTCTTAATATAAGGGATAGTAACTATCCTTTTATAGAGCTTACTACTAATAAGAAAAATAAAAGTTTATTAGAACCGAACTAATAGTAAGATATAAACTCCCTACGAAGCCTAAAGAGCGCTTCCTAGTTAACGGAAAGGATATAGATTACCTACTTCGATACCTATTTATAGATAACTATTACGATTATATATATAAAAGAGTATATATATAGACTAGAAGTTCTCTTTCGTTATTTACTAGCTCGGGTATAAGAGTAGGGGCTATTATCGAATTAAGTACTTATCGTAAGTTAAACGAATACTTATATTATAGGGTTTATATCTTAATAATTATTATTTTTAATTATATTTAAACTAACTTATAATTATTAGTACCTTTTATTTTATCTTAAATAGAGTAAGGAAAATAAGTATCTAATACGTTAGGTAATAATTAATCCCGAATTTATAAAAGGCTAGCGTTATCGCGATAATATTACCCTATAAGTATACGAGCTAAAATTATTCTATTTATAAATAGCTAATATAAGGATTAGGCTAAAGAATTAGTTTAGAGAGTATCTAGTTCTTAAAATAAGTTTTATCTTCTAGATAATCGTTTATAGGATAGCGAATAGTACCTTTAAAGGGCTTACTACTATAACCGAGGTTCTTATTGTAAAGCTACTAAAGAGAAGAGAGTTATAGACTCTAGAATAGAACGAAACCGTAAAAGACCTTCTATTCTTTAGAATAGTCGACTCTAAAGGACCTAAATTAACGAAGGTATTAATATTCTCCTTATTACGGTATAACTTTACTAGCTTAGCCTAGCGCGATAGGTTTAAAGACTAGTTACGTATATATAGAATTCGAGGAGGTATTATAAATAAGATCGACTATAAGTATATTTATACTATTATACCTTAATATTACTAAGGAATTTTAGCTAAGGCTTCTTAGGCTACTCGTGGTTAGGCTCTTAATCACTAGAATTATAATACCTATATAAAATATTAGTCTTCTTTTAAGATATTAGATATATAGGCCGTATTCTATAATTTAGAGCCTAATTACAAATACTACGATATAGAATAAAGTATATCTTATTACCGAGATTCGAACGTACTACTCTAACTCGATATAGCTACGATCGTATAATTTGTAACTAATAATAAAATTATTAAGATTAATTAGAGAATTGCTTATATAACCTAGGAGATTACTAGAAAATTAAAAGAAAATAGGGACCTAGTATTTAAATAGGCTCGGCTCTATAATAAGAAAGCAAAAAGATTACTAGCCTATAAGAGGAATTTTATTAAAAACTAGTAGGATATTTCGTACGCTAAGTATATATCTAGGAACGACTTCTCTAAACGCGATTTAATACCTCTTTTTAACGTCTATAAGAAATATCTACTAGAGCGCTCCCGTCTTAGCGAGAATCTATTAAAGAAGGGATCTCTAGATAGTAAACTTAGTCGATAGTACCTAGAAGATATAGTTACTATTTATACGTTAAGAGAACGTACCGTTTACTATCCCGGTATAGCCCCTAAGGAAGGCTACTATCTACTATATAAGAAGTCTATACTAGAGTAAGTATTCTATTAGAGTATTATAGACTAAAAAGATTAATTTTGCTGAGCGCAGCGAAGCAAATTTACAGAAAAGGTACCCAACAGACTATGCCTAAAATTCCGACTTGCGAATTCTGAGATCCTGGCCTCTGATTGGCTGGAGAATTGTCCAGTCATGTGAACAGGGTAGGGTTAGTCACGTGATTCGACTTTGAGATATAGACACCTTGGTGCCTAATAAAGCACGTGATCTACATAGATCACGTGATATATACCGATCCACGCCGGATTAGGCGGCGATCATGTGAGCACCCTATAATCACGTGATATATACCGATCCACGCCGGATTAGGCGGCGATCACGTGAGTACCCTATAATCACGTGATATATACCGATCCACGCCGGATTAGGCGGCGATCACGTAAGCACCCTATAATCACGTGATATATTCCGATCTACGCCGGATTAGGCGGCGATCACGTAAGCACCCTATAATCACGTGATATACACCGATCTACGCCGGATTAGGCGGCGATCACTATATAATAAGTAGCCTAAGGCGCCTAAGGCACTAACTACCTATATTACGTGATATATCACGTAATATATCTAATCTACGCCGGATTAGATAGCGATTACGTGATCACTATATAATTAATAGCCTAAGGCACTAACTAGCTATATCACGTAATCCCGGGATATATCTAATCTACGCCGGATTAGGCGGCGATCACGTGATTACGATATAATTCTAAGGTTACGTATTTAATTTAATTTAACTTTACTAAGCGAATTATATATATATATATATATATAGAACGGTATAAAAGTAGGCCTAGATAAGATACTTAGGTATTACCTCTTAATTAAAAGAGGGTTTAAACCCTAGCTACTATAAGTATTAGTAAGCGCTTATACCGCTATATAATCCGGTAATAGTATAGGGGTTCTACTAACTAAAGAGTACGGTTATAGGTAAGTATAGGATAAATATAGAAAAAACTAGGTATATAGCGTAGTGGTTAAATACGATATATATCTTAAAGGTCGCGTGTTCGAACCCGGCTCCGACTAAAATAAAAGTAAATTACTTTAATTAGACTACCGATTAGTAGATCGATTAGATTAGAATCTAGATTAGATTAGAATCTAGATTAGATTAGAATCTAGATTAGATTAGAATCTAGATTAGATTAGAATCTAGATTAGATTAGAATCTAGATTAGATTAGAATCTAGATTAGATTAGAATCTAGATTAGATTAGAATCTAGATTAGATTAGAATCTAGATTAGATTAGATCGATTAGATTAGATACTCGATAGTAAAATCTAGATTAGATTAGATTAGATACTAAATTAGATTAGATCGATTAGTAGATTATTTAGATTAGATACTCGATCTAGAATCTAGATTAGATTAGATTATAGACTACCTTAGCTATATAATAGTCTAGATAGTAATCTAACCCCCTAATCTAGATAGTAAGCTAACTAAACTACTAAACTAGCTACTAAGCTAGCTAGCTAACCTAGCTGCTAATCTAGCTATTAGCTACTAACCTAGCTGCTAATCTAGCTACTAATCTAGATAGTAGCCTAGCTAGCTACTAAGCTAGCTACTAACCTAGATAGTAGCCTAGATAGTAAACTACCTACTAGATACTAAACTAGCTATAAACTAGCTACTAAACTAGCTATAAACTAGCTACTAAACTAGCTGCTAAGCTAGATAGTATCCTAGATAGTAAACTACCTACTAGATACTAAGCTAGCTGCTAAACTAGCTGCTAAGCTAGCTGCTAAGCTAGATAGTAGCCTAGATAGTAAACTACCTACTAGATACTAAGCTAGCTACTAACCTACCTACTAAGCTAGCTACTAAACTAGCTGCCAAGCTAGCTACTAACCTACCTACTAAGCTAGCTACTAAACTACCTACTAAGCTAGCTACTAAGCTAGCTACTAACCTACCTACTAAGCTAGCTACTAAGCTAGCTCCTAGCTACTAACCTAGCTCCTAGCTACTAACCTAGCTCCTAGCTACTAATCTAGCTCCTAGCTCCCAATCTAGCTACTAGCTACTAATCTAGCTACTAGCTAGCTTAGCAGCTGCCTATATAGCTAATACTCTCTCTCTAGGACTAATATCTTAGCCAAGTATTATAATTCCTCCCCTACCCCCCCCCCCCTTAGGGGTGGGGGGTGGGAGGAGGTTAAATTCCCCTACTACTCTTTATCGCCTATATCCCTATATAGACCTAGCTATAGGTATCTTCTTAAGCCTTCTTGAAAGCTAAATCCTTTTGCTTCTGCTAAGCTCAGCAAAATATCACCCGTATGCGTTTCCACCCCCGGTGGTCGCTTACGGGTAGCTGGTAAAAGATAGAATTCTACTATAAGGGAGAGCTAAGTATATCCTATAGTATTGAAGAAAATCCTTAAATAGTATATAGTACTAGTAGCGCTATAAGAACGAAAAGCGCGCTTATCGATAGGTATAGCGTAGCTTTATTCAATTTTACTATCTTTACGCCGAGATCTTCCTTAATAAAGACTCCTAGAAAAATTATTATAAATGCTATCTCGATAGCCTTAAGCCTCGATATAGTCTCCTAACCTTCCGTTCTATACTTATCGCCCTAGGTTTCTGTCTATTCTACTTAGGGGATAAAAGTAAGAAACCCGACGAGAGATTTTAGTAATAGGTTATAAAGTTAACCCTTTTAAATTATATTAACGAATACTTAGGGTTAGCGGACTCTTCAACTATAGTCTTCTACCCTTATCTATACTACGAAGAAAGGAAGTATATTAATAACTTATATCTCCGGTAGTACCTTTTTAATATATATTTAATCGAAGAGCCCCGCTCAAATTATATTAAATAAAAAAGGAAGTAATAGCTTTAGCTAGAGACTATAGGAGCTACTATCGAGAACTTAAATAATAGAAAATTACCGAGTCTAGAGGATTATTTTCCCGCTACTCTACTAACTACTTTTAAAGATTAATATATAAGCTCTATAGATAATCTCTCTATAGACTTAAGCGATAAAATATTACCGGGCCTAGAGGATTATTTTCCTATAACTCTACTAACTAGTTTTAAAGAACCGGATATAAGCTCTATAGATAATCTCTTTATAGAGTTTATACGCTTTAGTAATAACTCTTACTAACTAGGTAATATCGTATCGCTAATACCGACTATTACTATAAGAAACGAAGTTGCTTAACGTTAGACTCTTTATTATTCCTAGATATTTCTTATATAATTATATAGTACTAGATTGACTATATATTAGTTAGTCTAAGACTTAAATATTAAAACTTATCTTTCTTCGCGCGATATACTTCCCTTAGTAGGCCCTAGGTCTATAGTTAAGAATAGGAGGCTTCCTTAAGGTAAGAAATAATAATTACGGTATAGAGTATCCCCGACTTAAATAGAGACATAACTTTCTTTATTATAGCTTTAATATCTAAAAGCTAACTAACGCTAAAATAATAGCGGCAAATCTTACGACGATAAGGCTCTATATCTAGACCGAGATGCCTTTAGAAAAATAATCATAGCACCTAATATCAAATTAGTACTTTAGATATATATCCCCTTAATATAACTCTATATTAAAGAGGGGAACGCTCTAGGTAGTATACTCTAAGGCATACGGGTCGATTTAGTACTCGTAGTTTAGTCTTATACCTAACCTTATATATAAAGGAACCTAACTCGATACCTAAGGTATTAATTCGGAGAGTTATAGAGGTATATTCTATTCAATCTATCTCTTCCTACTACTTATATCCTCCGCTCCCTAATATTATATAATAATACGCTTAGTAAATAATAGGATAAGTAAGATTAATCTATAGTAAAAGGCAAGACCCCCTACTATATATACTATCCTATCTAAAAAAGATATCGACCGTCCTCGGACGATCTAGGACTTTATACTAGTCCTCGACTTTACCTTCGCTTTCACCCTCGCTCCTAAGATCTTTTTAGTACTATAGGTAAACCTCTAAGTAGCTACTTAGAGCCTTAGCGTATATAAAGCATATCTTTTCGGCCGAAAAGATGCCTAATACTCTCGCGGCCTTTCGTAGTACGATTAGTTTC